TTTTAGCAGCTTACTTCTTACACAAAGATTGAGCAGTTAAAAAATGTAGAATGATAGTCTGGGGTTTTTTTTTTAACCTTTTTTATTGTGAAACTAATGCAAAATACCTGAATGTGGTTGCTTTAGGTGAGATGTTACACCTGTCCCTTTCTCCCCTCTCCTGTTTTCTACCGTCTCTGTTATAAGGCCTCTTGCTCTTGGTGTTGTTGAAATTATGGAGTCAGTAAGATCTACAAGTCTGCAGATGTGCAGATCTGCTTATCCATCTTCAAGAAAGATGAATTGAAAACTGCAGAGAGAGCTGCAAACAGCATTGTGAGACAGCTGCCCTGGTTCAGTGTAGCAAAACAGAGCCTAAGAGAGCCAGAGTGCATTAGATGAATGTTTCAAGTTGGTAAACAGCCAGGAGAGAGCATGGCTAAAGGACAATGCTGGCACAGGTAGAAAGGAATAAACAGTGCCTTGAAATACAGTTAGAGTGGAAATTAAAGGAAGCTTTCTAACAATTAGAATGGGTCTCTTCTTGAACAAAATTTTATTAGCAATAGCAGGAACAAAAAATGGAGCTGGTTAAACCTCAGGTTTATGAAAGGATTTGTCTGAATTGACCACCTGCATCAGCACAATCAATGAGTCCAAAAAAGTGACAAAAGACACCTTGTCTTGTCCTGTGTCCCATGTTCCTGACTGACAGCTTCCTGGATTTTGATTAATCAAAATGTAGTTCTCTGCATAGTCTGGAAAGGAAACTCACAATCTGCAAAACTCTTACAGAGTTTCATTGTGCAGGGAGTCATCCTGCAGAAGACGGCAAACACTTTATTTCCAGCTTTTATTTTACATAGTGTTTCTCCAATGTGTTGTGTTTATCCTCCAGGAGGAGGGTGCTTTGCAGTTGATGGAGATCATACACTGGTGCTGCAGCAGTGCTGCTTTTCTGTGAGGTAACTCCATGGCACTGCTCGAGCTGTACCAACAAAAATACCAGTGCTGTAGGACAAAATCCTCGTGTTCCTTAGAAGTTCACAGAAGCAAAGAAAAAATTGTTGTATTTTACAACCTATCCTCTGAAAGTATGCCCAGCATTTTCATAGGTTCATTTGGTCCAGAATTTGCAAAAGGTCCCACTTTTAGTTTACAAAATAAGTAATTTGATTTTCTAGTGCATGTGGCACACTGGCATCTCTCTGAAAGTCTTTCAGATTTGAGTCCCCACAAGATCTGTTGTACACTGAGTAATTTTTAATTCTGACCATCATTTAGGTGGTTACATGAGAACAGAGTTTTGTTAAGAGTCTGACCCCAATCACCATTTCTGGAAACAAGAAAATCTGGTCTGAAAGTGAGGTTTGTTGAAAATCTGGCCTTTGGAAAGTTTATTCTAAACATAAACATATCATCAATCCAAATGCTTAATGAGATATTAACATTTGCTTTCCTGTTAAAGATGTAATTTATAAGCAAGTTGCTTCTACAGCAGATATTTCCACCAAGGCAGCAATGGATAAAAGATATTCCTATCTGATGTGTTTCAGAGACTTTTTGTTAAAAGGTCAGTTCTTGATGAACAGATGTCTAAATTAAGAAAAACAACAGCAATAAAAGTGTGTTGCAGCTGGTACTTAGGTACCTGGGGGACTGGTTTGAACAAATAGATGGGTCTGAACTGATTCAGATGCCCCCTTGTTTTGGCAAAAGAAAGAGCAGGCATGAAGAGCAAGGGTCCATGTTCAAGCAGAATCATGTTAGGGAGGTACAATTACAACATAATTGTATCTGTAATCATTTACAGACATCAGACCATCTCTGTCACTGTTCAAGATCAAGCCCCTGTTGCAGTTATTAGTTATTTATATTACTACAGTGTTACTGTATATACCAGACATTTATTACAGCATCTTACATAGATGCAGAAAACCACAAGAATTTTCCAATGGATTTGCAGTAAAAGAAAGAACACTATGATTAGGCACTGGAAAACAAGAGGACACCAGACCAGGATAAAAAGCACAATAATGGCAGCCTAAATATCATCAGCTTTGGCACCAAAGCAGAGGGGAGTTTAAGGGAGGACAGTCAGTGAACATTCACAAAGCCTGAGAGTTAGCAGAGGAAAAGCAATGAAAAGCATCTGCTTCACACTTGACTTGTCACTGTCAAAAGCTGATATAATGGACTGGTCAGGTAGGAACTGGAAATCTCTGTCTCAAGTAAATGGGAAACTGTACCATGGGCAAAATCAGACTGACAATGAGATTAAAAAAAATGGAGCTTACAAAGATAAAAGCAACAAAGCCAATAAGATGCCAGGAGGAACAATATGGTCAAAGACAATAATCTTCACCACAGATTTCGTCCTGGCTGTGAGTAAGAAGGTTTGCTGTAATCAAGGGGACAGTCAAGACTGGATGAGAGGTGTAACTGTCTGAGCAAGTAGGATGCAGCTGTGCAGGAGTCTGCCAGTCTTTGGAATGAGGTACATAACAGTATGAAAAGAGCTGTCTTAGACAAAGGTAGGGTTCCAGTAATGGCAAAGCATTTCTGTTAAAATAAATGCTATATCAACTGCCAGTTTTAATCACAGATGAAGTCTGCAAGCAGGAACTTTCATGTGAATGAACTGCTACGGATTTGGTTTTCATTAATAGTTTTTAGTTATTTGTCTACAGAAAAATTGAAAATTATAGGTTGTCAGTAGGATATGTTTATTTGCAACTAAATAAACCTTTAGCCTTATATTTTATTTTGTACCTTTTTTTCCTGATTCAGAAGATAAATTCTGATATACATTATTTAATCAGTTATATAGTTTAGTGTGGATTGACTGTATTACTTTAGAATATGGTGAATGCTTTATGAGTTTTTCTAGGTTATCATTCTTTTTTTAACATTTTCTCTACTAATGACAAAACACAGTAAAGGTATATAATTAAACAATTTTAAAATTCTTTCTTACTAGTAAGTAAAATTTTAGCATTTATGGATCTTTAGTTAATACATACATATAGCAAAGAATTGTTTACACTTGTATTATTTCTGATCATCATGTCCTTCAGGATCTTCAAAATACAAAATCATATCTTCTCTTGCCCTGTTTATTATTAGTGGACTTCAAATTTTAAAATGTCTTGCTTTTTCAGAATTATATCACCATTTCAACTTTGAATGAAGGTAGGTAGAATTTCACAAGGAGACTTTTTGCTGTAAAAGGAGGTCAAAATGTAACAAATAAGGATGTTTATTTCTCCATCCAAAGTCTTTCTGTGGAAAACAAAGAGATGGTACAAGAATCTGTTCTCAAAAAAAACCTATTTGAAAGTTGTGAAAGGTTTCTATGAGATGGTCTTTTCAAAGCTTTAGCAAAAGCATATTAGTTTATAATAGACTGGAAATGAAGGAGGAAGACACTGGACAGTTAATTCCTTCAGCTCATGAAGACACGTGTGCATGTTGCTTATAATGACTGCAGGTGATGCATTAGGTTCATGTTAACAAGCCTTAAGCTAGAAGTTGGAAAGGCTTTGTTTCTGAGAGGAAGAATGTCTTTGTTGTCTAGCACATTATTTGTTTTTTCATCTACTAATCTTAAAATTAAAATGTGTTGCTTACATCTTGGGAATCTTTAACATGGGAAAGAAGAGAGATGAGAAAGTCCATTTAATGTGTGTGAAGACTGAGGCTCAAATAGGAACATAATGCAAGAAATTAAATGGTTTTCTCTTGAGTGATAGAAGAGATTGTTAAAAGTCTCTTCAGTATTATCTTGTGTCCTTTCTTCCTCAATCACAGTTTTCAGTAACATGCAAACAAAGTCTATATGATTCTGATGGAATGCTCTTGCTTCTATAATATCCCTTTTCAGAAAGGTTTGGGAAGGTTATCTTGAGACAAAATGGGCATAGAATTGGTTTAGTTGAATAGATAAAGATTCCCATCTGGAACTTCAGCTCTTCCACCTGGGAGCACCACGTTTTACAGCCATAGTGATCATGTTGCAAAATCATACATTCACTTTAAATGACTCACCTACATTGACATTACAACTGGCATTAGGCATGCACTTTTTAAATTAATTTCATGGTCATCCCCACCTACCCTGCTTTGGTTGGCAGGCTACAAACAAACCAGGGGGTTTTTTTTGGAAGAAACTAAGTCAAAAGATGCACTCAGGAACTTGTACTCCCTCCACCACTAATCATGTAATCTACAGAACTAGCCTGAAGTAAGTCCAAATCCTGAAATGCAGATTGTGGCTATTGGGTCCTCAGTGCTACCTCTTTCACTCTGCAGAGCCATTCCTGTTGCAAAGCACAATTTAGATAAAGACCAAATTCCTGCTGACTAATGAACTCTAGACTCTTGAAAGTGCAGTTGTGTAACAAAGAACCTGCAGGAGGGGAGAGCCTTTCCATGCCAAATGATAACCTATCTTATTTAGCTTCATTTGTTTCTGAAGAGTAAAAATACTCTGAGGGAGTTACCCAAAATAAAGCTGCTAAGAGCAAACAATATGCAGCTCAGAAGAATGAATTGCTCCCGGGGAAAATTGGGAAAATTTCCACTGCATAGCCATGTGCAAGCCTGTGGCTGGGATAACGGCCCTGTTCACATTCAGGTTCGCATGAATCTGAGTTTTACAAACTGTTGTTCTTAGGGTGGCTAGGCTTGAAAAGAAGCTGAGGAGATTTGTTAGAGAAGTAAATAGCATTCCCTCATTTAGTTTTAAGTCAGCACTTTAGTTTGGGATACTGAATATAAGGGAAGATCATTGGAGGTCTAGTCTGAGCAGAGTTCCAGGTAAATATTTTCCATGAGAAGATCCTGGGTTGAGGTGAACAGTAACTTTCTTCTGAGGTAATACTGCCTTAAGAGACAGATGAAGTCTCTCCTGATTCCCAAGAGCTCAAGCAGCAGAAGTAGTCACTGTTGTGAAGCTTGCTGTTGGATTTACGTGGTGTATGTTTTTGTCAGTTGGCTTCTGTTCACTTTCTTACCCATAGAGAGCACTGGTCACTGCCCAGAAATTCCGGCATCCCATGCTCCACCACTACCTAAGCCTAAGCCTAAACCTAAAAAAGCTCCGCTACCACCAAAAAATGCCACTGCCGCTTCCACCGCCAGCAGCCATAAGGGTAACGAAGCACCTCACGCTAAAAAAAAGGGAAAGGCTCCTGCTAAGCAGCCTCCTCTCCCACCACCCAAGCCAACGGGTGCCAGTGCAAATCGAGAAGCTGGTGAGTACTGCCCAGCAGTGCAGCTGCCGTGGGTGCATGTGCATGGGGCTGCTTGGCTTGGTGACTCGTGCCTTTGGACAGAGCGGTGTTACTGAGGAGCATGGGTGGGTGTTTGCAGAGAGCTTCCTGCTGGCCTCTGCTTCTGCTGGCCACAAACACCCCAGACAACACACAGACCCCCTCGCTGTTGAGTGAACCCATGTACAACGCCGAGCACAGCAGAGACAACAATGAATTCCCAGTTCAAGTGTGAAAGCTGCAAAAAATTCCCAGAGAAACGGCTCAAGAATAAGCAGGATAGAAGGTGACTTCTGAAACCAAGCAGGTTACCCCTAAGTAAAACTAATTTGGTATGACTGTAACTTTCTACTGAAAGTATCAACTATTCTAGTTAATTTGACAATATGACAAGATCACAAAGAAGTTAAGAATAAAATCATTGAAGCATCTTAAAAGATTGCTGAATAGCAGTTGGTTTAGCTGACCAAAAAAAATGACACCATTAGAAATGACCAGGCTTCCCTCAGGTGCTGTGATTCTAACTACATACTGGAAATGGAAAATATCACTCATCAGGCACAAAGCATGTGTTTATCACCACACTATTACATCAAAATTCAGCAGTGATGCAAGATTTAAGATTACAGGTGGATGCTCTTAAGGTACTGATTTTGAGTTTGAATGGTTGCAGTGGAGACAATGACCATAATTAAAACATCCACACATACTTTGAACACAAGCAGTATTGTGATTAATGGGCTCCATATATGTATTGGCAAATTTATACAAGCCCTGTATTTTCATTCTCTGTCTTTCAAAGCCCTTCAGTCCCTCCAGTTTTCTCTGCAAGTATTTCTCTTCACAGCTTGTACATTTTGGCACATTTTGTATTTGAATCATACAGAAGAGGACTGTCTGAAAACATTGCAAGACTTCTAGAATTACAATAATAACTTTGCCATAAAATATCCATTAACTTGGTATTAACTGTCCCTACTACATTAGATGACTACAAGAATAAACATTTTGAAAATCCAGAATTTGCTGCTTGTATTTCACATGCAACTGGGAAACTCAGCTCTTCCTAGGTGAAGCAGCCTTGTAACAGCAGACCTTTCAGAAATAAAGCAATCCATCATATAAAGAACTGTTCATACCAGTGCTTGGTAACAAGCTGTCAGGTATCTGACTTTTTAGACTAAAATACATTCAGGTTCCAGATTTATCTTCTATTAGCCTTGCTGCAATGTCAGCCAGTGCTTGCAGACCATACAGATGTAAAATATATCCACATATATTCCTTACTCTACTGGTAATTTCTTCCAAATTTAAAAATATATTGTGTTCATTCAAAGTGGGACAGTACTTCATAAGCAGAGCTGGTTTGGAAGAGTGTCAGTACAAGGGGTTTGTCATTCCCATGAAAGTGAACACATGATGCAGCCAGTGATCAAGCCCCATGAAGGAGGAGAGGAATATGAGTAACAGCGGAGCCATGGCTCTCCTGCAAGTTTCCATACTGAAATAGTGGAACTGGGAGAATGGGACTTAAATGGAGGGGTGGATGTATGCCAAAAGGCAAACAACAGCCATTAAATTTTTCATTTAATCAGAATTCAAATCTTCTACTGAAAAAGAGGCATGACAGAAAATTGTCAGCCAGCCCAGTCAAAAACAACAGCAGCAATAGCACTTTTGACCCATGTGGACGCGTAGGGGGGTTTTCTGTGGGAGAAATCTTTTAAGTTTCTGTATCTAATTGGAGGTTCTGAGAATAATGTAAGGATTTTTACAATGGAAACATGTTTTGACATTTTCTCAGCCATAACTGTGTGGCCATATATTTGTACTGTGCTGCAGTTCTTAAGTGCAAGCTTGTAACTGGTTCTGTTGACCTCCAGCCTGCTCTGAAGGGGATCAGAACCAGAGCCTTTTCTTTCTACCATCCACCTACTCAGTAAGATTTCTGTTAAATAATATGCAGGTTGGAACCACCATCTATTTCTGCTATAATTATGAACTTCTGCTGATGCCATTTTTCTGCTTCATTTTGTTTTGCATGTAAATTGAGTGATTTGTGATTTCCCACCTGATGTGGGAAGATGAGTGCAGTATCAGTTCATTCAAGACAGTGTCCTTTAAAGTCACCTGGGATCACAGAGAGGAACAGGGATTTGCTTGAAGTTTCTATACATTTTTTCAGATACACTGAAAGCTTCACAGTTCTCTAAATGTTTTTAAACCATAACAGCTAGAGAAGAGAACAGTGAAGTGTCTTGAATTGATTTCCATCTCCTTTGAGAACAGTCTAACTGTGAAAACTGTTTTTATATCATGAACTTCTTATGGCCAGTATCTGCACTTTGATTCTCTCCCAGTCTCCTGGGGGGTTGTTTTTATTTAAATGCTTATAAGTAAAGTAGGCCCTTCAGCAGATTTCTATTACAGCTTTCTGTTTTACTCAATAAATTTAGCCAGAAGGCTGCTATTTAACTTTATAATGCTTTCATTTGTTCTCTGGAACTTAATGAATTTTTAGAATTACATCAGAAGTATTTGAGTTGGATGCATTTTGATGAAAAGGACTGAACCATTAGATGGTTGTCATTTTTATTGCTTTTTAAATGGAAGTCAGAAGTTTGAAGCTTCCATCTCAGGTGATGACACAGCATGACATTGACACAGCAATTGGAAATGTGGCTGGAATGCGCATGGAAATGTGGCAGCTAGCTGAAATCTTTAGTGAGATTATTTATACATATATGCTTCAGTATGATGAGCATCACAGGATTAAACGGCCAGCTTGGCCAGTTTGTACAGCTGCTGTCAAAACCTTGTTTCACTTCATTTTCAAGACTGCCCAAGTTGGTCACTGGTAAGATGGAGGCCTCCAGTACGTACAGGAGGCTTCCAGTGCCTCCTGCCTTCTGAAGGTCATTTGTGCACAGTGGCAGGAGTGGTTTCTGCCCCTCTGCTGTTTGTCATTACATAGGAGGACACCAGTTGCAGTAAAAATTTTTTTAGCTAAGTCACTACATATATTTTTAGAATAAGTTGTGGACTTCTTAGAAGATGTCCAGGCCAGGTGTAACAGGCCAATTCAGAATGCTCAAAACTCCTGTCCATTTGTAAGGTTGGTCCTCTCTGCTGTTCTTGGTCAAGTATTCATCATTTCAGTGTCTCCCACACAAAGGTGAAATTGGAACTGCAAAATTTAATCATCTCAAGCATTTACATGAAGTATTGTAGAAGTATCAAATGTATTTTTTTTAAGACCAGCACAAGTCAATTCATGCAGAAAATACAGTGCAAAAATCATATCATTTCAAGACTGTAAAATGCCTTTTATTTTCTTGTTTTAGCTGGTTCCTCTCACGCAAAAAAACTACCAGTCTCCAAGTCTTCTTCATCACCATCTCCTTCGTCCACATCATCTCATCCCAAAGCCTCTAAGGAGACTTCCAGCAAATCTGGCACATCAGGGACTCCCAGGGGCAAGAAAAAACCTGGGAAACAGTCAGCCCCACGAACAGCACCAGACGGAGCTGCTTCCTCCCCCTCAGGTGCGACAGCCGACAGTGTGGAAGCGAAGGCAGAAAAACCCAAGCCTGAGCAAACTCCCGCAGTCATCTTTGACACGGACAACGCGGACCCGCCCAGCAAGCTTGTTGTGCCCCCTCCTCCCTCCGCTGCCCCTCCTCCACCTCCACTTCCACCTCCTTTTCCTGCTGCAGATCCTCAGCAGCCTGCTGGCTCCTCAGATGGGCAGGATGTGTCAGACAGCCCTGTGGCAGGGCCGCCAGGCTCGGACACTTCGAAGGCTCTGCTCCCGACCGAGCGTGGCACAGACCCGAGTCTGAGCAGTGCGGCCCCGGGCAGCGCTCCAGGTGCCAGAGACCACCACACGGAAAGGTGAGGCAGTATGGCTGTCCTGGGGGAGCAGTGAGGCCACAGCCAAGGAAGCCACATTGGTTTGCACTGTAGGCACGGGGGGATCTCTTCTGCTGCTTCTGCTGATTGGGAACTAATCTCAACTCCCTGCTGGGCTAATTTGCCCGCGAGCAGGCAGCACGGGCCGGATAGCTCAGTCCTTCACGGGAGCAGAGTGTCTGAGTACCCAGGCCGCTCTCAGCCGATGGCTACCTTAGCAAGCTTAGTGGATATCAGCTCTTTAGTGATTATCAGCTCTCTTAGGATTTCAACTCGAGCTTGCTAAGGCGTCCAGGCTAGTCGGGAAGCAGACGTGAGTGAGGAGAAGAGAATGTCCTGGTGTTCCATAGTGATGGTTTTATTGAGGGGTCTGTGAAGGGTTCCAGCAACGGCTCTTCTAACCAGAATGGGCTAAAAAAGCCCCTTTTTATAGGGTATAAGGGGATCCAAACTTGTCCAATAGCAGGGGTTAAGGGAAAGTGACCTGTGGGGTTCCTGAGATAAGTTGGGGTCCAAAAGGCGGAAGACAGGAGCTTCTTTTGCTATTTCATCATGACTTAGCAATTCCTACGGTTAAGCCTCGGCCCTCCATGGGGCCCTAGCCAGCTCGGAGCCTGCTGCAGGGAACAGTTTGTGTGGCACCCAGCACAGTTTGTTCCCTCCCAGCGCCTTTGAGCCTTTCACCTGCAGCACCTCATGTTTCCCCAGAAGGTCGTCGCTCATGACCTGTCTCTTACTTCATTGTGTGGCTGGCACTGGTGTCAGCAGTGCAGCTCAAAGATGGTGACACTTTTATTTATCTCTCATAAAGGCAAACAAGAAATTATGCCGAATTATAAGGGGGTTCTTTTCTGCAGATGTCTTTTTTTTTTCTGTAGATGTCATTAAATATCTCACTAAATATCTCGCTAAAGTTCTCAATTCAATAGCTGAATTTGCTTGAACACTTGAAAATGAGGGTTCTTTCAGGCTTCAGTTAGTAGGTGTTTAGTTTTTTACTGCCTAATAACTTGTGTAAATCTCAGGTATTGTAGAAACTGGTCAAGAGAATAGTCATAATTACCTTTTTTAAGCAAAACAGTTGGCAGAAAAATGAAACTGGCTTATCAATTTGTCTTTTCCCTGCCACAAAAATCAGCATCTTCTATATAAATCCAAGAGGGTTTAGTCTAAATGCCAGTAGCCTAGAGACCTTCCTTTAAATTCTTGCTGGTACATCTGTTGCCAGCTCTACATTCTAGTGCAGCATCTCCCCCTGCTCTACCCTTCCTTTACGTAAAAATTTTCCCAAGGCAACAGGCAACCTGCTGTTGATCCCCAAATTCATTAGTAATGAGCATGGACATTTTGAACTCAACTGTAATGAGACTGTATCTACAATAAATAGGGTTAGGCTTCCAGAACAGGAAACTTTGCAGTCCCATCTGCTCTCCAACTTGGTCCTCTCATCCCCAACTTTGTGAACTGTTCTTAATGCAGTCCTCACAGCACATAATTCTGGATTGTTTGTATCCTTTTTCCTAACACACATACATAGATATATATACATATCTGCATATGTTAAAAATGTCTTATATATGTATGTTTTTTAGAAAGGAATTACTTTGATTGACAGAACTTGACAAAACTCCTTGCTTTTTCAATTGCTTCTCATTGGTGTTTTGTTCTGCTTGCATTGATGTGTCACCCTACCTGCTCATGAATAAACAGCATGGCTCCCAAAGAAGACCAGGAAGGGGAGGCTCCAGATGAAGCATTCTCTGAGCTAGTGGAGGAGGCTTCTGACGCTGCTGCCCCTCCTGAGAGTGAAAGCAGCAGAGACAGCCACGGCAGTGACTCGGACTCAGACGGGCCGATCCTGTACACAGATGATGATGACGATGATGATGATGATGATGATGATGAGAATGCAAGCACTGAAAGTAAGCATCCTGCTCAAAATGCTGCAGGCTGCCGTTCGCAGATTGCGTTTTGGGAGCGTGCCTGACCCGTGCCAGTGTGAGGCGGAGAGAGGAATGGCTGCAGGGAATGCTTTTTGGGGATTTAGTATTTTGTCACTGCTGAGAAACGAGTGTCCTGCTCCTCCCAGGCAATGACAGTCAGAAACCTGCTGGGGCCTGTGCATGGGTGAGAGCATGTCGGGACCCAGGACATTCCTCTGGCTGCCCTGGGTGATTTGAGACCCTGGCAGGGGGCTCAGAGACCTTGGCACAGAGTCAAAAACACCTGTGCCTTCAATTTTAGTCCATGGAAAAATTACCAACTTTATTTGAAGATTTACAAGCCACAAGAGTTTGAGTAGAATAAGAGTTAATTTGTTACAGGGTGAAAAAGCAGAATTTTTGGGTTTTCAAATGGGGGTTCAAGAAGCAAGATGGAGGAATCTGAGTGTGTGCTGTCCTTCTTCTCCTTCTTCTTGTCCTCCATCTTCTGCTGGTGGTGACACTTTTTGATTGGTTTAGAGTAAAAACAGACTGGCATAGGTGATAGGTATTGGAAAATTATTGTAAATAAAGTACACATAGATTGTAGTATAAAATGTTAAGACCACCCCAAGGGCAGGTGCTGTGCCACAACCCAACCTGCTGGACAGATCTCAACAGGTCAGAGAAAGAATGTAATAGATAAGAAAAATAAACAACCTTGAAGAGCAGAACAGACAAATCTCGACTTCTTCAGTCGCGAGGCTGGGAAGAAAAGACTTTATAATACTTCGGGGTCATCTCAACCACAGAAACCCAAGAAGAGGAGATGAATCATTGCAGGGAGGAGCGTGGAGGGGGGAGGAACAGGCTCAGGAGGACGTGAGGGTGGGACAAGGTGGAGACCTTAGGGCCTCACAAGCCATTAATTTGGCTTGCCCACACCATGAGTTCCTTGTGGGAGCTACAGGTGTGGTGGATAATGGAGGAGGCCCATCAGTCAGCCCTTCACTGTCTGAAAGTCACTTGTTCCTCTTTGATCAGGATGTTTTAAGCACTGGAGCAACCTTAGCAGGCAGAGCAGATCACAGTAGGTTACATCTAAGTTTTACAGCTTCGAAATTTCTGGGATCATGACTCTTATCATCACCTTAACTGGGCAGAAGCCCTGCGGTGCTGAAGGAGTTGTCCTGCCCCCATTCTGCCTAATCCCTTCTCCCAGCTGTTTTTTCCTTAGGGTAGAGTTCATGTTTATTTTTGTAGGAGCAGCTGTCGTTGAGCTGATTTTCAACAGAATTTGTGGTTCCCTGATCCAGCTCACCCAAAGGCTTCTCCTTTGCTTGGGCAAAGAAGGTGGCAGCAGCAGGCTGTCAGGAGCACAAAGGAGGGCAGACCTCCCTCTGCCTCCTAGGGTGGCTTTATGTCAGTATGAAATCACCATCAAGCCATGGTTTGAGAGCCTTGCTCGCAGCTTTTTTGGAGGAGTTGCCTCACTGTGCTCAACAAAGAAAGTTTGAACGCCAAGGTCCAGTGTACCAAAGTGGCATGAGGCAAAATGAACATGTTTTTTGTTTTTTTTCCTTAGCCACTGGTGCAGAAGAAGGTGAAGTGCTAGGTAGCTCAAGAGGCTGAAGTCTTCTGCAGTGCTTTCTTGGGTTTGAATACAACCCAAAGTGATAGAAACCAAGAATGCCTGTGTTCACTCAGCAGCACAGTGTCTTATGGAAAGTGAGCTGGAAGCCTGTGGTCTTACCAAAATGCCTTACACAGTGAAAATCTGCCACCTAAGGCATTTGTAGGCCACCTTGGTCAGAATGTCAAGACACAAGGGAAATACTATAAAGGCTGTGAAAAATGCCATTCCTTCCACAGCTGCCTGAAGCTAATGCTGGCCAAGCTGCAAAGCCCTTGTCCCTAGAGTGTTGGTTTTATGCAGAACAGATTGCTGCAGTGTCTGGGGGTTCCTGCCTAGGTTGTTTTACAGGCACTCAGAGCACTTTTCTAAGCTGTATTTTTTGGTTTAGTTTACAAATAACTTAGAGATGGAAAGCACTATAAAAGAACTAAGTGGTAATTAATTGAAAAAAAGTTGAAAGAATGAGGGAAATGATGATAGAATGAGACTAAGCCATTTAAGGCTGAAGAAAACGAGCAGCAGGTTGCTAAATATACTAAGTAGTTAAATAAGCCAACCTGTAATGTATTAGACTTCAAAGACATTTTAGTGTAGATTTGTCATTTTTATCCTATCACTTCACAGATGACAAGTGATGTTTGTATCAATTTGGCTTTTCCCTCCAAGCCTTTTAGCTTTTTATTTTCATTAACTGAGCTAAAATTTTTCTTTTGATGTTAATTGAAATTCCTCTCCGCATGTGGGAACAAGGTTGCTTTGGGGAGGTATTAAAGTTCTCACTGGGAGTTTGTGTCTGTAACCTGAGCATGAATGAACTAAATCTACCCTACTCCTCCTTTCCTCAGGCTCTTTGGCAAGTAAAATTCGTCGTAGGGATACTCTTGCTATCAAACTTGGCAACAGACCATCTAAGAAAGAGTTAGAAGACAAAAACATCTTGCAGCGTACATCCGAAGAGGAGAGGCAGGAAATCAGACATCAGATTGGAACAAAGCTTGTGAGGTATCAGTCACAGGGTCAGTGTGGTTTCACTGGGTGGAGATGGAGGAAGAGAATCGAGAACACTGGGTTCATGTTTTAAATGCAGCCCAATGTGCACTGCAGGATCTTTGTGGTACAACTATCTGGAAAATGGTGGTTTTATTTCTCACAAAACTTTAAATTGTCAGTAATAGATTTTCTGTTCTGCAAGAAACAAAACTGGAGAGCTTTTGGAGTTTTGGGTACTTTGGTTAAAAAGGGAAAGAAGAGGAAGAGGGTAAGAATGAGTCTACAACAGTCAATGCTGTGGTTCTGGTTCTTTCTCAGATTTGTTAGCAGAATTTCCACTTGTATACCCATCTCAGGCAGAGCACTATTTCCTGACCCACAGAGCATGACTGTGCATGTTGTCCATTCTGACCCTTCTCGTCTTCCCCTGGCTCTCCAAGTCCTTCGTTATCATATGCTGATTCCAGCAAAAGAAGTTGAGCTGGTCAGTGTTTAGTGTTTTACTGTACCCAGTGCTGAGACACGTCTTTCTCAAGCTGTTAAACTGCTGTGGGATGTATATTACTTTCTCCTTCTGGAATTGAGAACATTGCATTAAAAATTCACTTGCCTTTTACAGGTTTTTTTAAAAAAATCTTCATGTTTATTTTGGCTTTTGTGGTCTCTGAGAATAGACTACAGCATGCCTGTATTTTGCTAGACCTGTCCCTGTTTCTGTTTGCCTCAGGAATGTTGTCCAGATTTGGAGGATGTCCTGTGTTTTTTGGAGATTCCCAGATACAGAGTAGTCGTGTTGGTACTGCCCCAGTACAGAGTACACAGCCCTGCACCAACACCCAGAAGATGAGCTGAGTTGCTCTGTGAACTGGGTGTCTGGCCAAGGCAGCTGTTTCATTACTGAACTGTAAGAGTGGTACATCTACTGTGCAGAGCCCAAGAGTCATTTTTCTCCTGCCAATAAAGAGGTGTGGTTGTTATCATCGCTTTCCTGAACAAATCCCAGCTCTGGTGATCACATCCTGCTTGTCAGTCCTCCCTTGGGGGCTGCAACTGCAGAAGCTGCTTTGGGGTTCTGCTGGAGAGCTGAAAGGCAATGCACACAGCTCTGCTTTGGTGGCAGGAGACACGATCTGTGTACATCAGGGCTGTGCTCATACCCAAAATCACATCCAAGTTTGATGCCAGTTTCTTAAAAATTCCTGGCCTGGTGGTCAGCACCTGGCAGCATCGAGGTCTGGTGGAAAATCTGTTCCCACAGCTCAGTCAGGGTTGAGTCAGGCTCCCACCTGGGACTTCCTACAGCTGGGACTGATCACCTATGGTAAACCTGCCAGTCCCCAGGGACAAATCTGTAAGTCCAAGAGTGTTTTGAATTGGACGAGTATCACAAGACTAAAGACAGCTTGTAGTGAACTGTGTGAGTGTTGATGAATAGACACCTATCTTGAACACACATGCAAAATAAGTTTTACTGCTGAAATTTTTCTTGCTCCTTTCCTCAAGTGAACAAGTGGACTTGTTTAGTAAACACAGAGACAACATCAACCGTGTACAAATCAGAAAATTATTATCTCAGTTTGGGGTTTTTGTAATGGCAGTTGTTATTTAGGTAACTAAATAAAATTAGGTTTCAGGTGAAGCTCCCAATTGTATTGTACATACAAATTAATGAGGAATGAACAGCTTATGGATTTTGTTGGTTTTGTTTTTTTAAAAAACTTTAGTAAGACTTCAAAATATCAAAAATATCAAAATTCATTCAAAATACCTGAGAATAATCTAACAATTGTGCAACTGATTATAATGATGGTTCTTGGGAACAAAAAAGGTATATGGATTTATTAATAAAATTATACCTGTGAGGACTATAAATTTGCTAGTACAAATTCTGTAATATTATTCAAGTGTCAGTTATTCATGTGTTCAAATGACAACGCTACATCTTTTAAACAAATGGCCACTCTGGTTACATAAGCAGTTGTTATAACTGCCTGAAAATTACTTCCAGAAATTACATTTTTTTAAGCTGTATTACAAATCCTAATGTGTCATTTAGATCTGGTTTTAAATCAGTCATTTACTTTGTTCTCACAGGAGGCTTAGCCAGAGGCCCACAACTGAAGAGCTGGAGCAAAGAAATATCCTGAAGCGTAAGTATTTCATTCAGGTTTCATACAGTGTTTGCTTAGAAAGGGAGCAGGTGTTGGATTCATATGGAAGCCCATCATTGTTGCTCCAGTATTAGAACTGTAACTAGAGAGAAATGATGTTCTAGAAAATAATGTCTCAACACTTGATTTATACACTAACCTGTAATTGTAGCTTTGAAAATTTATTGAATGTGCCAAATTTTACTTGTCACAATCTCACTTCTGAAGCTGGTCCCAAAGACCAAGAATGACTTGGTTACCTTTCAGAAATAGTTCTAAGCTAGTTAACCTTCCCCCTGATTTTTATGAGGAGGAGGAGGAGGAGAAAGGAATATCAGTTGGAGGTGCAGGTGGGATGGAAGGGCAGAGGTTGAAAGGAGGAGTAGAAAGAAGAAAGGCAAAGTGTTCAGCAGAAAGTCAATAGGTATATGTCAGCTACTTCAGCATGCTGGCCTTCATATTCACTTCTGACATAAATGTCTTCTGTACTGAAACATGCATGAGAATCTCACTGAATATCTTCCCACTGATTAAATCATTCCTAATATCTAAGCTGAAAAAAAGTCTGTAATTCAAATAGTCAGGGGTGGAGGAAGTACATTAGATGTTTACCCTTTATACCTATTCTGCCATTTACTTATGTTGCTTCTGTTCTTTGGCTGGCAAACTCTTCAGAACAAGCATTGTTTTGTCCTCCTTTATGAATCTTTCCACAATGAAGCTGTTACCTAAACACACAGTGCAGCAGGTGCCATGCCCAGCTCCACCTAGTCCTGTGTTCATCCTGCAGAGGTGGCTAGTACTTGATGGTTAAGTAGAAGAAATAAATGAAGAAAAGACACTTTATAGCAATAAATCAAAAATCACACGAATAGCAAACAAAAAAAACTCTTAAGGCATGAGAACTTCTCACACCTGATCAAAGAGTTGGTATGATACTGTTACGGTATTTCCAGCAATTGTTCAGTAAAGTTGGAGCTCATCCATGCAAGTCTGGTGTCAGCCCTGATGTGTAGCACGCTAATGGGAAGGGAAGAAAATAAAATGGGATGTTTACCTGACAGCTTCCATGGACTGATGACTCTGTCACTTGCTCAGCCTAGCAAATCAGAGAGAGGGCAATTATTGGCTTTCAGGCAAACCATCCCAATAATAAAAAGCTAATAAAATCTTACTGCTGTTGTTTGAGTTCTCAAATGCCAAATAGTGCCATATCTTACTGAAAAGGGAAGCTACAGTTCATGCTTGCACAGGAGAGGGATCAGGGAACTCCTGTCTAGCACATAATGTGAATAGACTTTCTAAAACTGTAATTTCCAAACCTATAAATTTCAAAGATAAATAAAAATAAAATTGGAAATAAGAACTTTTTTTTTTTTTATATGACAAACTGCTCATGCTGGACTGTGTGAGAAGCATAAATCCAAAGCATCTTTGCTGGGCCAGGATACAGCCACTGGGCTGGGAGCACCAGCTGGGCTCCCTTATTGCCCTTTCTCGCTTATCTCGAGGTGACCAAGCCAGCAGCAAATCTGTGATGTATTTAATATCCCCTTTTGCCAGTGTTTATTCCATTCACTGCTCTTGCAATAAGTAGCTCAAGACTGGAAAGCAGTTAATAGATTTCCTCTCCTGTTTCAGCTTGTTTACTTTAAGCTTTTGGCAGCGCACCAGGCTTTGCACTCAGTGCCTCCTGCCATCCTCCCCTGCTGCTGCTGGGGGTGCCTTAAAGAGGCCAGGGAGAGCGAAAAATGAAGGCTGGGAAGCAGAATTGTAAATCATAAAAAAATCACAGAGGCCCTTGTGAGCACATGAAGGAACTGCTTTTTGCTCATCACTGAGATATAAAATATTTCAAGTTGAAAGTGTTCTATTAAAACCAAAGCAAACCAAAACCAAGACAGGGTTTGTGATGAGAGTCTGACTCAGAGTTCTTTCAGGGTGCAAGTTCTCTCTAAACCATAAGGCACTTATATTTTACATCAAAATTTTTGCCATTCCTTACTGTGGATCATTTGAAAATGTTTGCACATCTTAAATGCCTTTGTTGGTGTAGTGAGCTTTTGTGAGTAAGTTGGGATTTCTTTCATAAAGTTTCCTTCCTCATATTTTTTAAGCAGTGGATGGGGAGAAAGAGTTATATTATTGTGTGTATGTAAACTGCAGCTAAGGGGATGTATTCTTTTGAGTCATATTTATCAGACTTGGAGGTTACATTAAGTGGTAAAGGTCCAAATGTTTACTTCAGGATAAAGTTCAGCCCAAATCTTCTAAGACATTCAGAAAAAAGAAGCCTACTTTTTTTCTTTTTTTGTATTTCCAGTTAGTGAGCAAGTTTGTTTTGTAAGAAGCTTTGTTTTGATAATATTTCCAGATAAACCAGTTACTGAAAATCCTGTTTCCAAGTACCATCGCAAGACATTGCAGGCGGATTTGTTTAAAAACTGTTTGGATAAAACTATCCAGACTTCTGAGACTTCCCACACTAAAACAAAGTTACGACAACTTAAGAGTCCACTTGAAGGAATACATAAAGCCCTGTGTTTTTTATAAAGGCAGGCTTCTTGTACACTGGCTTTGAACCAACAGTATTTATAGTATTGCATTATGGCAAAGAAACTTTTTAGTCTTCCAAGAATTTCAGATTAAGATAACTGTAATTTTTCCCTGTATTTGTAAGGGACAGTGAATTTCTTGTACAGTGCACCTGCACGCCTGCCAGTAATGGCTTTGTAGAAAATGGGGTTTAGCTCTCAAAGCTTGTTAAGGAATATTAATGGTTATCTTTTCTTGTAAGACCAGGAAAGTGAAACAGCTTTGTGCATTTCAGAGCACTGCAAGAAGCAAGTGCTTTGTTTTTCTTTTCTTTCTCTTTCGTTAGCAAGCCCACAGAGAACTCTAAACATAGCTAATCCCATAGGGACACAATGGAAAGTTCGGTTTTATGCTCCAGGAGTAGTTTTTGGTCAAGAATGGAGCAGTCCTCAGGCAGGAAAATTTGTCTTTTTTCTTCTCCCCTTCTGTTACAAAACAAATGTCCCACAGAACAGAAGGTGATCAGATGTAATGTGGTAAAAGTGCAGGGGCAATAATGTATAGATGACAGGGAAGCTGCTTGTTTGGCTTTGACTGGTGGATTATTTAACTTGATGGTCACAATAACTGATGCTAAACAAAATTGTTTCAATTAGGAGTCAAATCCCAGTTTGACCTCCCAGGAATTGCAGGGAGGGAAGGAGGGAAGCCATAGTTTTTCTGGGATCTAATCAGAGACTTCTGCAAGCACAGGGCGCTTGCTGGGCTGGTTCTTTGCCAATAGGGCAGCAGCAGGACATCTGAGGAGGGGACTTGCAGCTGAGAACGCTGTGTTTATATTTTCTCTCTCCACATCACACAGATTAGATCTGCTTTTAAGGTGGAAAGCAGTGATAAGTGTGTTCCTGTGCATTAATGTGTTCCTGTTTGGCCAAGTGAGTCACTTCATACCTGCAGCCAAATCTTGGCCCTCTGGCTGGAATTTTCCACAACACCTACAGGAACCAGGAGCACCAGACCCATTATTTTTAGCACCACACATCTTCTTAACTCCCTACAGCACCTTTCAAAACTTTTACCTTAAAAGACCAAAAACACACTGTAGTTTTTACTGTTTGTAGGTATTTGTATCCAGGCAGCGTTTCTGTAGCACCAGGCTTAAAGCAAGACTCTGCCCAGCAGGCTGGAGGTGGGAAAATGGTGCTTTAGGTACAAGTCAGTGCCAGAGACAGGGGCCCATGTGTAAAACAGCAGATTCAGTGCAATACTAGCAGCCACAAGATTTCAGTCCATTTCCTTTAGCTCTTGAGTTTTATTGCTAGAAGTAAACCAGTTTGAATGTATAAAATCCTGTGCCTGACCTCTCATGCAGAAGACTGTCTGTTCCCCATGGGTTTGATCCTCTCCTGTTTTTCCCAGGATTTAAGGATGCTCATGGTGTCTCCTGTTGGAATTATCCTCCAGAAGATGGCCTGTTCCAAGGGGTACCAACACCCTCTGCCCAGTCACTAAGATGCTTGCCCTTTTGGGGGGTTTTCCCTTGTCTCCCATCCTGCTGTGCAGTCATCTGCTCTCCAAAGGGATCTGGCTTCACAGCTTGGGATAGGCAGCTAACCTTCAACCTTCCTAAATGTCTAGAGAAAGATTTTTAAGGTATTTTATCCTCCCCCAAAATACAGAGAAACACTATTTCAGGTGCCATGCTGTTGGTAGTTCTTCCTTAAGGCATACATTAAGCAGTGTGAGCCTCTGTTTCTTACATGAAGCATCTTAGGAAACACTGTAGTTTAGATAGAAAAAAAAGGCCAAGATATGAGTAATGCACAGCATATTTTACAAACTAAAGTAAGGAAAGGGCAGTACAGTGATGTGTACATTCAATTGTCTTTTTTCCTGTGACTGGAGATTGTCTAAAGTAGGACTTAAACAATTCCATTCATGAGGGGACAAAATTTTTTATGTCACATGATTCCCAACTGAATGGAACCCCAAAGTAATAGTTTGTGTTTAATTACCTCAGCTGCTGTGTCTATTAATTGCAAAGACAGGATGTTTAAACAGAAGCCTACAGATGATTTATCTGTCGTGAAACAGCTAGAGACCTTTTGACTTTTTTAGATGAGGATGAGTTAGTTATCCTTTAAAGTTACAATTCCTTAAAAAATACCCAACTTATTTATTGATAGATACATTAATTTAAAAAAATTAAAGTGTAGATTAATCTATAACTCTCCAGTTACAGTTATTCTTCAGTTTGAATCAATTTACAGTTCCTCTATGGAAACAGGCTATTCATTTCTTTTCCATTTAACAGGAAAGCAGTTAATAAACCATAAATTACATCCATATTTCAGTATCTCAGTAACATCACCATCAACCTGAAATCCAACCTAATCCTGGCAGCAAGCCTGTGCGATTGCACCTTGCTCTTGGAAACCTGATGTTGGTGTTGGAATCTTCTCACAAGAGAAGATCTTGGGCAAGCATTGCCTTTTTCCTACTTTTTACCTTCTTACTTTTTTATTTTTATAATTTGTCCTCTCCTCCTTTCCCTGATATTCTTATTATATGAAAGCATTTGAGTAAGCAAAGGATATCTGCAAGTACCATGAGGTGTCCTGTTGTAGCATTTTCTCCACTGTGAAAGTCATTACACAGAAATTCTCCTCAGGCCAGGTCACCTCTACTGAGACAGCAGGCTGGCCATAGGAAACAAGGCAAATACCACTATACCAGGTTTTAAAACTCCCTTTTCAGCTATACAAGTTGGCTGTATCCAGAGCAAATTAATTTCTTTACATTTATAGTTAGCCTTGAACTGTAATGCAGAGTCTGTAATCTCCAACCATGAATAAAACAGGATCAAAACTTTATGCATTTCTCTAGGTGGGATATTTCAGCCAAAAACTTTGCATTTAACCATCAGATTTGGACTGTAAGGGCACATACTGTCCTTCAAACCATACATCAATTTAAAAATATGCTGAGCACACACAAACATGTCTTTCTAAGTGTGCTTTTCATTGGCAGTTGAAAAATCAACTTTGGTTAGAACAGAAGTTTGTTAAAAGGAAATTGTTTCATTCATATGCCCAAATACATCCTAAAAATGGACATCATTTTCTGCTGTACTGGTTCATCTGGTCCAGCCAGTGGCCCTTAACCAAGAGGGCTTGAGTGTTGGATTATATGCACCCATTATAAAACCAGGAAAAAAATTATATAATAAAACCAATTTACTGACAAATGCCAGTGAAACAAATGTCATTGATTCGTGTCTGTAGCAGTAGAAGGAACTTGGGTAATTCAAATAGAGTAAAATTTTCACTTGGCATTTATAAATTAGACTCTTATTCTAAAATCAATGTTGGAAGTAAAAGCAACAGTCATTGTAATGCTAAAATAAGTAATTGAAACATCAGGCAACTCTTTCAGGGTACTTGCTTGCTGGTACACAGAAAGGAAATGACAGGCACCTTCTCTTTGCTGTGCTCATGACCCACAGTTGACTTGAGATGTCTACAGAATCAGGGGAAATGCGGATAGGGAAAAGAATGAGAGCAGACAAAAGCCAAAAAGCAGACAACACAGGCGGCATCATCCAGAAATATGAGGAAACATGAGCCAGGACTTGGAGTTCTGAAGCTTTCAACCAAGAGAAATACAGTATGTGCTGTTATAATACTTAAATATTCACTCCTTTTTATCTCTTCTGAAAACAGAGAAGAATGAAGAAGAGGAACAGGAAGCCAAAAGAGAAATAAAACGTAGACTCAGTAGAAAGGTGATGATGTGCTTTTTTGTATTGTGTATTTTTGTACATAGAATTATGTTTCATAAGAATCTGAAAATCAGTGTGTAGACATTGCTGCAAATGTCCATCAGTCATTTTCCCAGATTAGAAATCTGCTTGAAAAGCAGTACAAGCCAAGCCCTTGTTGGGGGAACCCCCCGTGCTGTCCAGCTCCCCACACCTGGAGAAGCATACCGAGTCTGGCCATATTGCTGTTTCTCAGCAGGGGACATAAGTGACAGTTTTCCTCTGCAGCAGGACCACCCCTGTCACATATGGTCAAGGGCAGCCACACCTGCTGATCCACTCCTTCCTAGAGCAGTGGAGAGGGCAGCAAAACAATGTGACCCCTACAACATCCCTTCAGTGCTTTTCTAACCACATCAGTGGTCTAAGCTTCTGCAGGTGGGATCATGCTCATTGTCCCTGGAAATGGAGCAGTTACAGGTCTGTTCTGGGAGAGGATGGGAGGAGTTTTCATAAGTATCCCTGGTCTGCCTGTCTCTGCAAAAATACAGTTTCCTTAATATGATAATCCTTAGTTAATTAAAGTGAATATTGTTTGAGGTGATTGAAACAATTTGGCATTATAATGACCCCTAGATGGTCAAAACCAGGGCAGATACTTCCAAATGTCACGTATTTTTGATATTACAGTTTTAACACGGTATAACTGTTCATGCAGATGGCCTAGTGGGGTAGTGCCAGTTGCAAAGTCACAATTAACATTCCAGGGATAACTGTCATGATTCTCTGTGACCTGCCCAACAAAGACTATTTTTATAATTTAAGAAATCAGGTTAGGCTGCCTCCCCATTCCTGCGCAGCACTCCCAGGATGGTGCCTTTTTTTAGACACCTGAAAGTGACCCTATTTAGAAATACCATTAAAGTTCTCTTGAGATTACATCATACCCTTCTCTTTTATTTCATTTCATCTTATTAAGCATACTATTTTCTGCCTCCTGCTTACAGCTTAGTCTGAGGCCTACAGTGGCTGAACTTCAGGCGAGAAGAATCCTTCGATTTAATGAGTACGTGGAGGTCACGGAATCTCCGGATTACGACCGTCGTGCTGACAAGCCTTGGGCCAGGCTAACTCCTGCAGACAAGGCAAGGCACAAATGCAGATTAAAAGAAAAGGCTTTCATCTGTCACTTTTGGGGAGCTTTCTTCTGGTTTACATTCTCTTGATTGCCAGCATCACAAATGACATCTGCTGGTGACAGCAAGATTGTCATGGTGCTACTGTGCGTCTACTGCTTGCAGCTAAGAAAACCCACTCAGGTGCCTATTATGAGCATATTTTACACCTCCATTATGACAGTTTGAGCCAGAATTTCTAATTTTTGTTTTCTATTTTTTAAAACCTTGCTAAGACAGATAAAAGTTTACCAAAGGTGGCCCTGATCTTTGGGAATTCATGCAGGGATTTGCAGGCAGGAGTCTGCGTCACTGCTACCAGGAGTTTCTTTTGCCATTCATTTGAGTGAAAAAAAGGTAGAAGTTCCTCCATCCTCCTCAAGGTTCTTGGCCATGACCACTAGTGCAGGGAATGACCATGAGCATGCAGCAGAATTTCTTGGGAGGACTGCCCCTAACATCCTACAGTTAATAAAGCTCTGCTGCCTGACTACAAAGGATGAGATAAATGATCCTGTGATTCTCATTTTTAAAAAGTATCAGTCAAAGGTTACCATAAGGTACTCTTCCATTTCCCTCCTACATTACTTAATGAAAGGAGAGCTGTAAGATTCAGGTAGCCCAAAGTGCTGGGTCTTAAAGCACGGGGTCTGAACCAAGACCTGTGGACTTAATGGAACTCCTGTGAGATGTGCTTGACATGAAAAGTGGTGTGTGCAAGAGCCCACTCTATTTTAGCTAAGGGTAGTGAAGCACTGATTTTATTTCAGCTTGTATTTTAATATTAATACTTAAAAATGGCCAGCTCGTCTGACAGTTGTCTCAGACCAAGGTGAAATAGTTGAAAATGTAGTCAGAAAAGTTTGTAGATGTTGGTTATGGGAGATACTGAGCACTGTCTAGTCCTCCCATAGTCTGTGGGAGGTTAGAGGACCCAGCACCTCCACTTTGACCAGCCAGGGTAAACTGCACTAGAAAAAAACAATGGAGTTGCCTACCTACTTCAGGGTAGCAGGTTTTAGTCTCAATTCATTTTGTAATTAACAGCTGCCCAAGGCTGATCCTCTCCACCCCAAATTTATTGGCCTTAGCAGAAAAGCAGAGTTGGGATTGCCTGAAAACTCCCTTGTCCTATTTTTCCAAGAGAAATCATTCTTCTAATTCCGGTAGGAGCAGAAAATTGTGCTGCAGCTCTATTACAGAGCTGGAGCTCTGCTGTCTTTGTTGCTGATTTGGTGCTCAGAAGTCACTGGCTTCACTAGCTCTACAGCAGCCTCATGTAAGCATGCTGTTGTGGCTAAACACAACCACCCCTGCTTAAAGCAAAGTTTATCATTTATAAGACTGCAGCCTGCTGATGGTATAATTTTATCATGCTGCTTGTCTGCTCTGCACTGAAAGGCATGCACATTAGATGACGTTTCTTTGGGGATTAATGAAATGATACTGTCTTATTTAAACTGATGAAAGAAAAGAATGAGTAAGAGTAAACTGTCATTTCCTTTTACAGTGAAGGTGTGTGGCATAGAAACAAAACCTCTTGTAGTATATATTAGAATATTTCAGAAACTGTATTTACTTGATGAAGTAAATTGCTTATCAGTCTCTTAACATAAGCAACAAGGCATTTACAAACTGTACTGAATTTCTGTTGTTCTTTAGTATCTGCCAACTAAAAATCCAAGACTGAAATGTCCAAATATTAATGTCATTTTAAATAAAACTAATCAAACCAAGTGATTAATTCCATTAAAAAAAAAAAACTTTTCATCCTGCACTCCTGAAGTCCTATCTCCAGAGGGGAGATACAAGGACCCTGTTGTGCACACAGTGCCTGTGCTGGCAGAGTGACTCACCAGCTCCTCAGGGCTGTGCCTGGAGATAGAATCCCCTCCTGTCTGCCTACTCAGCAAGTGATTGTCAGGGTAATCCAACCCCTTGCCCATTTTTGTCAGTAGAAGTGCTCTGTTTCAGTCTGGGCTTTGTTCACCCATTGCAGTTGATTTGGTGTTTCTTGGTTTACTTTTGGTGCTTGATGCTTTGCATTTCTTTGTAGTGGATGAGTACTTTGAACAGCTCTAATTGAAAAGTCATTCATGTTGATGATCAGAAATGTGTGAGAGCTGTGGGTTACAGTAAGGAAAAATTGAAATGGGAACTGTAAGGCACCTGCAATGATAGGGCCACGTTGCTTTCAGACTCTTTGTTTTCCTGAAATATCATATTTCTTACGGTTGCATATATCATTATTGCTTATTAGGCAGCAATACGGAAAGAACTGAATGAATTCAAAAGCACAGAAATGGAAGTACACGAGGAAAGTCGGCAATTTACCAGGTGGGTGACTCCCCCTTCTTGTGTAAGTGTGAGAAACAAGTATGACAGCAACCCTCTGCTTTCCTGCAAGTTCTCTGCAGTTGTGTCATGATTTGTGTGCATTCCTATCATGAGTCCCCTTGAATCCCACCACTGATTCTGTTGGAGTTCCCACTATTGCTGATGCCATCTCTATACAGCAGTGCAGGTGACTGCAATGGATTGGTCACTATGTAGAAAAAGATTGGAGAATCTAAAAAATAATCTTATGCAAGAACCCATCAGTTCTTACAGATGAAGTTAGTGATCTTCAAGCACACAAAATAAAAGGGGCTTCCTTTCTCTGGCAGCACTCCCTTGCTCATTAAAGTATACATTTGTGTAGATGCATTTCATAAGTGAAAATTAGATGATGCTTTGAACTTCAGAAAAGCTCACCAGTGTCTTGGTGAGCTTTCTAAGGGTCACTTAGGCTCCTGGCAGTGGTTTCTGGGGAACAAGATAGATTCCCTTGTTGCCACTTCTAAAGTGTTAATGTGGATTTGTTTTGTTCTTTGCTTCGGATAACACCAAGATGTTGTCTGAAGCATTGTTATTTGAAGAAGCTCTGAAGTGTCCACAGTATTTTAGCAGGGTTTCAGACTTGGCAGAATTATTCCTAGGGGGAGGGACACACTTTCTGAAATCTCCATGGCTGTGTTCATTTTTCTTGGAAGTTACAAAGGCTGGAAATTGCCACCAGCAATCAAAACTTGATGTTAGGTTGGCCCACATTGTGTCCATAGTATTCATGTCTTTGCTTCTGCAGAAAATTGTCAGACAGAACCAGTTATCTAAGACTGGGTCCCTTCTGTTTCCTGCTACTGTTTCAACCAAACTCAGGATCTGAGCTAGTGAGTGTGAATCACCAAATTAAAAAACGCATCACAAGGAAAATTCATGATGGGCGTTTCATGTATCTTCTACTTCACTGTTTGATTTCACAACTTCAGTGATTCCTTTCTCACCAAAGCATGGAGTTTTTAAAAATAATAATATCACTTCTGTGTAGATACAACATAAACAAATTCATTTTTAAAAATCCAAACCAGCTTCACAGACAGCAAACCTAAGCCAGAAGATGAACCAGGATGCAGGGTTTTAATGTAGCATTGCATTCTGACCATTAGAAAATGTATTTTTCAAACATGGAGATGTATCTTTTCATTTGGCTTCTGATGTCATTTTCTCATTAGGTTGCACATAGTATATCTTTTTCAGAATGTATAAAAATACTGCTTTAAAAAAAAGAGCACCCAAGGGAGAGAATAAAAATAGCAGGTGTAGAAACCACGTCCCTGCTTACATTGTTGTGTTTCTAGAGTTGCTTTGCAATACTGAAGCCTAAGTACAGACAGGTATGATTCATACAAAAAGAATTGGATATTTTTTCATGAGCTTTGAGAACAGTTGAGGATGATTACAACTGGATTCTTGAAAGCTGAACCAGGAATCTCGCAGTGACAAACCAGTAAAAAAGTGAATGATTTTCTTCAAGGAGGGCCTTTGAAAATGGAGTAAAAAATAGGAGCAGCCAAATTGTGATCAGTGCAGGCAATGATTCTATAGGGTGCTGAAACAATTTCAACCTGAGGGAAGTCAGTTTTTTTCTGTTCTTTATCCCTGCTCCTTTGTTTCACTGGTCATGTTGTGGAGTTACTACACAGAAGTCAGAAGAGTAACACTAGAAAAAACTAAGTAAGAGCAGAATAACATGCAAATGTTTTAAGTCAATTGCAATTTTGAAAATAAAAAGAGATCTTATTTTCCCTGGGACGTCTCATTAAAAATTATGTTTTCTGCTACGTAATATTGGATTGATACAACAAAAGTGATTTAATGAAACCATATACAGAATTCTCTAGCCACAGCATTAATTTCTCATACATCAATTATTTTCAAGATCACTGAGATTATGCAAACCAAAAGACATTTGCATTGGCACCTGATTAGCAAAGGCTATTCTGTGATAGACTGAGAAAACAAGGAAGCTGCTTAATAAACAAAAGTAGTTTCTAGTATATGGTTTCCTATATTATTGCAGATTAAATATAGATGATTTAATATTATAATCAGTATTTACAATATATTTGAAATGTTAAAAATTTATATCAAACTTGAAAAAGAAAGAACAATGGGTTTCATTGTTCATCATTTATGGTAATGACTGTTACTTGACTGGTTTTCTAGTCCTAGTAAATTAGACTGATTCTTTCTGTTATTTCATAACAAAATTCAAGAAAATTAGTTTCTAAAAATAAAGAAATCAATACAAGTTTGGGAGGAGCATATTAGCAGGTGTTCATTAAGTGTTTCTAAGGAAAATGCTATATATAGTCCAGCATATTGTTTTTCCACAAAATACAAAACCCCTGTGTCTTTTTAGCAATCCTCTGTACCCTCATTTAGCAGATCAGCTGCATAGTTGTGAATGTCAGGCTTTGTGCACACCTCCTTCATTTGAGAAATCCATCCCTGTATTGGATTGAATCAACTTACAGGGATAATGTGTGGAACTATTAAGAGAAAATGTGTCAAACAAAAACTCAGGTAAATCTGTTGTGTAGATGTATCATTATCTATGCCTTTTTCAGGCTGCTGCATCTTTTACTACTTCATGGACAGATTAATTTTTAAAGCCATTTGAACAGAGATATATGTCTATACTCCGAGAACCTGATACTGGTACCCTCCTTACCCTTTTGCTTGGATTCATTACATTTAGCATGATTTAGAATTTCAATTGCTGTAGGTTCCTAACTTATTATAGAAAGGGTTGGTGACACCTTTTGGTGCAACCCACTTCTCTAGCCATCATACAGGCAATCTGGAGTGATGTACATGCCCTACCTAAAAGCCTAAAAAAGTGAGGTATATTTGGGTCTCCATGTACCTCAGTTCACTGCTGTTAATAAGAAGAAAGCATCTGAAATGCTATAAAATTTGCTGCTTAATTAAAAGAAAATACAAAATTTTGTTAGCCTCATTTTGCACAAGGATTAAAACCCCAGAATTTTAATTTTTATGCTTTAGCAAAGCTTTTCTGATAATACTTACTGACAGCATCTGCAAATAATGGACGCAGTTGTAGCTAAATCTGTATTGGCAAACAGACTGGAGACTCTTCTCTGGCCCTGAGGCCAGCAAGCTTGGCACAGCTTGAATCCATGCAGTTAAGCTGTTTCTCTCACCTCAAAACAGGGTGATGTTCCCCATTCCCTGCCTGCCTGCTGTCCTGTGCTAACCCCAGCCATGCCCAGGCAGTACCTGAAAGCACTGGCTGGCCCAAGCAAAACTCTGCCAGGGACCACACTGGCAGGTTAATGGCGCAGACAGACAGTGCTTGAGCCACACCAAATCTCTGTTTGGTTTTCTAAGCAGATAGAGATGGACAGCAGGAAATAACAGGTCTGACTCTAAACCAATACAGATCAGGGAAATCAGGAATAACTGGCCGACAAAAGGAAACAGCTTTGAGAACAGGATGAGGATCAGTGTCATTGTCAGTTGAAATATAATACACATAATTCTAAGATTTTAATTTATCTTTTCAGGTTTCATCGTCCATAACTGTTTGACCGCATACCATATTTCAAGTAACAATTTTCTTTGGGGAAATCATTGCATCCTGAAGACCTGAAATTGCACTGGAACTTGATTATGAGTGTGTGCTACAGCTTACCCTGAGGCTAATGAAGAAAGTGGCCCTTGTTTTTGTCAATGGACAAATGATTAGTCTAGGAGGAGAGCCCAGAGGAAGCGTTTGTCCATGTCCAGACAAACCACGGTTCTGTGGCCAGCCCACACGGACAAGCCAGTGGACTTCTTTGTGAGAGCTCCATGAGTCAGGAAGTGCCGAGGACAATCGCTGGAGAGCCTGCTGCCAGGATCTCATCCGCCTTCATGGGGCTGGGACTGAGGGAACAAAGAGGGAGCGGGGGTGACAAAAGAACTGAGAGCTGGGGGAAAAGAGACTTTTGTCTGTCAGTCCACAGAGCTAAGTGGAATGGATGGGGCTGCTCAACAATGCATTTGGCCAGTGGGAAGAATTATTTTTTAAAAGAAAGACTGTAAGCAACTGTGCATGTAGGTTTTTTTCAGTGGATGCAGCCTGTCTTAAAAAGATAGCAAGCCATAAGTCCTTGTGTCATCAGTACTTTAGGAAGAACTGTCATTTTCTTTGGTGCCAGTAAATACAGTTGCCAGAAATTAGTCCTAGTATAACTCAACTGTCTTTTTTTAAATCCCAGTGCACATGCTTCAGGAAAACACATGGAACATTCATACAGAACAAGTAATATATTTTTTGGCTTTTTAATGTTGACATACTCTGGATCCTCAGAGATACATAAACAGGATTTGAAGGACAAATCATGTGACACTATGAATGCAATGAAATGCTTTGTGTTTAGAAACACTCCTTGCTGTCTGTCACTTGCCATTCAAACCAGAGGGATCATTATCTTTGTCATCCATGGCAGGCAGTAGTGACAACTTGGACATCATGCTAGTGTGAATCCAAAGTCAGAATTGAAATTAGGCACAGAAGTCTTTATTAGTAGGACTGAGCAGTGACTACTAATGTAACTTTTTACATTTAAGGACTCTTGCACTGCTTTGAGGAAGAAATCCCAAACGAATCAGCGTGTCTTCAGCTAGTGGTCCTTTAAAAGTGAAAGAAAAATCCTTGGAGTGTCTCCAGCCTGTTTTTATTGAGTGTGAAGAATGAGTCTTAGATTCCTAATTTTTTATACTATCTTGAAATTGTACATGTGAATAGAATACTATTAAAATTAAGTGGTATGGAGTGTGAAAGGCAATACATGGTTTTTCTAAATTGGCCCAAAGGCCTATTAAAAAGCCTGTGGCATTGTTTACACTAAGAAATTCTCTGTCCTATATTAGCACTTATTTATCCTTTGAATTAGTGTACACAACAGTGGGGGGGGGGGTCCTGGAATTCACATATGCATACATTTAATGCAGTATTACAATATATTTGCTATTTATCCTTTCTAATGTGTGTACATATTACAAATTATTTTTGTCTTTTATGTGTCCTGTTCAGTTTTTAATTATGAAGTGTAAGTATTTCTTTTTCTGGCAATAAAAGATCTGTGTAGATGTGATTTTTACCTCAGATCCTGTTATAGATTCTTGTGGAATGTGTTTAGTTTATAAAATTGAAGATTGTTGTTAGAGAAGTCAGCCTGAAGGCAGGAAGGCAATTTGGTGGCTAAAATTAGATATCCCTCTTTAGAGCTATTTACAACAAGACCAGGTTTGCATAAATGAGGTGGATTATTTTAATGAAGAACACTTCTAGTAACAGAAGAGTGCTTTCCAACAGCTGCCACTCTCTGTCATTCTATTATTTTTAAAGACATTGGAAAAGCTGTTTTAAAAAAGGTAAAATTTAAATGACTTTTAGGATCCATTACACTTTGGTAAAAATCTAATGATGTACAAGCTACAAAATATCAATCACCAAATAAAAAAATCCATCTACATGCTTGTAGGAAAGAAAAGGAAGCAGCACCTTCCTTTTTTAATGGAATCAATAAGAGCCATTAGGATTCCATTTGCAGAAAATAAGCTTCTGGAAAGTCCATCATTTTATAAATATAGAAACACCACTCTGACATCAAGGAAGCAGTGAAAATGTATTCTTTGGCACTAAATCATACAGGAATTAGCAAGGCATTAGGTTTGTCAGCAATTCTGGTAGAATGCTTATTTTTATTTTTAGAATTTGAAGAGTAAACTAAAAAGTTACACTAGAATAGTTCTGCCTAAACTTTTTTTTTTTTTGCTGATGTTGCCAATGTATGATGTAGGAATGTGTGTCCAAAATCATGTAAAGGTCTACTATATTGACTTTGAAGTATAAAACACAGTATTTCACTTCAAAGGAAATGAGAGGAGCAATGAAATAAATCTCAGTGTTGCATTAATCCCATTGAAACATTTGAGAGTAGCCAAGATACTGAAGGCAGAAAGACAGCTGTTACACAGGCAGAATAACTGGGGCAAAGGTAAGGTCAGACTATAAATATTTTATATAAGACAGTAGCTCCACCACCATGCCAAGGTGGTGCTTACACAAGCAAACTAAAACTTGTTAAACTCTTGGGATGAAGTGAAAAAATTGACTTTGCAAGAAGACATTCCTCTATACTAGGCCTAGACCATGGATGGAAAGTCATGTCCCAACCTTACTGTTTTAAGAGTAATAACACAAAGATGAGGATACAACTTCTGGCTCAGACACGTGAGGTACCACTTAGGCTTTTCCTATCTTCCTTCTGGGGTTGGAGGGGTTTTTTAAAAGTATTCCCTCCAAGACATTTCTAGTTGCAGGACTCTAGCCTTGGTAGAGATGCTGAATTAATTTTTAATTTCTTACTATTTTGGTAATAATCAGATGCATAGTGTGGCCCACAGTTCAGTGAACTAATTAAACACATTTATGTAATTGGACAAAAAGAGTTACCTTTATGGAAAGGTAACTTGTAAAATCTTATGTAAAATCTTATGTAGTATACTACATAACATTATTAGAAGATGTAGCAGAATTAGAACTTAAGACTATCCATAGTGTATTTTAGCTACTCAGAGACACAGAATTGTATATACTATTTTTGTATTCTAAATACAAAATTTAGAACTTAGAATTTAGAATTTTGAAATTAAATTTTAAAATTGAAAAATTGAATTTAGAAATTTAGAATTTTGTGGCAGAATTTTTTGGCAGAAAAACAATAGCTGTAAAGTGTTGTCCATGCAATAAAAAATAATGAGAATTTGGTATGTCACCATGTGCAGTGAAGCAAGTTTGCTTCAAGAAGCCAGAAGTCAATTTCTGCTGCCTCTCCTAGTTGTCTGTATTGATAAGTTCAAATGTTTTCCAGCTGCATCAACAACCCATTGGAAATATTACACCATATACCTGCTTTGGTGCTGCATGCCTTCTAGAAGGGAAAAATCAGGGTAAGTCCTGAGAAATTAATGAATTAATAATCCTAGAGTTAAAAATAAAAATATGTTAAACAGGCAAAGAAAAAATATAACTTTTCATGCAAAGTATAGTACAGTCCAGCTGGCTAAGAGGGATCAGCATGATAATTTTTATCAAGTTGGACTAATGATTTAAATGTCATGCACAAGATAGGACAAACCTTACACACAGGATACCTGTGTTCCCACAGAGTCAGGTATGTCTACATCCACAGAAAGAGAAAATGAGCAGCTTTTTGGCTTTTGGTGGCTTCTGAAATTATCTCAAATATAATATTTATCAGTATAATCACACATCATAGTATGTTGCTGTGGGTGCAAAAGAATGGGTACTTAATCAAATCCTTATTTCTTCTTCACATAAAAAATTGAAATGGTTCTAGAGTGTCTCATCTCTGTCCTCTTTCAGGTAACACATATTAGTCTTTGTAACTCAGATACAGTCTATCTGGATTTTTTTTTAAATTGTGCTATATACGTTGACTCAACAAGTACCAAAAAAAAAAAAAAGAAAGCTAATGATTATTTAAGATAATGATTATTTAAGCTAATACCATTTCAACTGGTGATTTGAAACATGTTAGGACCAGAAGATAGATCTCTTCAAAGTCACTGAAAGTATTCTTGGCCATTTGTAGTTCTACAGACTGCATTTATTTGTTGGGTTTATCATTTACCTACAGCTGTGTATTCCACCACCCTTACTGTGGTGGACTTCACACCACCATCTGCTTTGGCTAACCTGAGCACCTCTTAGAGAAGCACCACAACCTCAGCGCTGACATGGAAAAACCACATCAGATAAGCACCCATGTTTTAACTTGAAAGCTAAATGAAAACTGTGAAACAAAGGGATGAAGTATCCCTGATATTACAGAAATTAGACCCCTCCTTCCAGGTGAAGTGAGTGCTTGGTTTCCTGCAGAGATGCTTCAAACTCAGACCTGTAATTAATAATACTACAGTTACATGAGACAGTTTGTTTCAAAGTAACAGTTGCTTAACCTGACTATAAACTCAATCTGAGCCCCGATTTTGTATCATCACAGAGTGCAAAAAGATCCAGCCAGCAACAGACTAAAAACATCTAATCCAGTCTGGCAGCCTGGGAATCAAGCAAAACTCCCTGACTGTCTGCAGCTGGCAGGGCTTGGAGTCAGGGTAGGGAGAGCCACTCTGTCACCTGGTACCTGGCAGCACAGGCCTGTGTGAGCACTGCTGACATCCTAAACAGAGACCAGAATATTGGCCCATGTCTTCATGTCTGTTAATGCTTTAAGGACAAAGAAAACCAGGTTGAAAGCCTACATTTGCATGAGACTGTCAGGTGCACAGGAACCGTGTGTTTAACACTTTCATGTCCTCTGGTTTTAATGATATTCAGGAGTTAAGACCTTCACCATTGTAAACTAAACTGAAAATATACTCGGTGAAAAAGCAAGTATGGATAAACTTGCCTCCTGCCTTTAGGATCTTCCACATTTAGTTCTGCTATTGTTGCTAGCTGTAGTCTTATTATACCAAGATCAGTGCAATATTCACTGATGGGGCATAGATTGTGATGAAAAGAAAAAAATATATATTCTGAAAGATTTTATAAGGATGATACAAAAATATTTTGAAGGTCAAATTAAAAAAAAAAAAAAAAAAAAAAAAAAAAAAAAAAAAAAAAAAGCAGCCCCCAGTATAGCTTAAAACTTCTATTTAACAGAAATCTGAAAAAAAAACCCCACCAAAACTTATGGAACTGTATCTATACAGAGAAAGGGAAAGGGAGAAATGAAGTGAAATTAACATATATTTGCTGTAATGTTCAAACAGCAAATTATATTTATATTTATAAACTCTAATAACTAATAAGGTTTTGTTTTACTTTGTGTTCCCATTTCAAGATTTTAATGGAAATAAAGCTCATATGAACTAGATACAGCATTTCACCAATATTTTATAGAAGCTACATATTGCATTGGATAGAAACAAAGAAAGCAATGGTATTATCTGTATCTTCTTGTTCAAGCATAAATTCTTTCTATTAAAAAAATCTTGCAATACTATGTCAAATTTAACAATATTTGAACATTGTTAGGATATTGTAAAATGTTAAAACATTGCTAAACATATCTTCCATTCACTACTTTGTGTGGTGGTATACTGATTTGTAAACTTGTACAAATTTTGGAATTAAAGGAATACTGTGTTTCATATAATTATTATTTTAGCTGGTGTGATTTGAAACAAAAATATCAATGGCTTGTTTGAACGGGAATTCAACTGTATCAGCAGTGGGGGAAGGGTGGAGAGATGGTGGAGAGATGCTTAATTTCCTGCAACTGTTTACATTGCTCTTAAGTTTTGGGGGGAAGAGGGGCTTTCCTTAAAAAATAATAAATAAAACAAACCAGAATTCCATTTACAACTGAACTGCAAATCTGGGAGAGGCACAAGAAGACTGCAGAGCCCAGACACCGTTGTGCACACAGGAGCTGATAAAACTGGTAGGTTTGTGTCCCTTCCCGGTGTCCTGCGGCACAATAGCTCAAACAGTAAATCATGGCAAGGTTTGTGTGCTCTGCTTTGGACCCAGCTGCACCTTAAACACTGGGAGATCACAAAGCTGTGTTTCTCTGGCAGAGCTGCAGTACAGCAGGACAGGCTCAGCAGTAGGAATCACTGCACTGCTGCCTCTTCCAAGCAAACCCGCATGGACACGACCACAGTAAGGGGGGCTTGATCACACATCCACAGCAGTGCGGGCTGCTGAGCTCCAGGATGGTCTTCCAAGGGTCCAGTACAGCCACAAGATTCTTACTTGCTGAATAGACTCTAAGGCAGCCACAATCACCTGCATTGGAATTGTCACAGAAATTCATTGCAAATAAAATTTTGCATACAGAGTGTCACCCATTCATACACACTGGGCCAGTTCTTAGACTTTATTTTTTCTATTACTTCAGTGAAAAACAGTGAAAAATTATTCTGTAAGTAACTTCCTTTGATTTTTGATTAAATGTTCCCATTTTCAAGTCAAGTAAGGCAAAAAAAAATTCAAACCTTGCTTCCCCATTGCTCAATAGTTACTGATAACTAAATAGTTACTGGTAACTACAAAAAATGTATCTGCTTAGAATGTATCAGCTTAGAATTGCTGTCCCTCTAAAATGTACTTTCCACATGTTTCATTACTTTCAAAAGATGGAAGACTGTGGAGAATCAACACCGACAACTTTTCAGCTTACGCAGAGCGGATTTTTTGTTGCAATTTTAAAATTAATGCTACTTGGTTCAGTGTGATTGAATATGGGAACTCTGAAGCAGTGGCAGATCTGATACTGCATTTTATACAGGTGTGTGAGATCTGTGAAGGCCAGGAACTGTTACAAATTAATGATAACTACTTCTTGAGGTTTTATCTATAATGTAAAGTGTATATATATATACATATATATATATATATATATACACACAAATATAGTCTAGTATCATCACCTGAAAAACATAAAGAATAAAGAATGTATTGGGGTATATACAGTACATATGTTATGCTTGTTTTATGGTGTTTGTATTAAACAAGGAAACTGAAAGTGTGCTGCCTAGTTGTACAGTACTGTAGGATCCTCTGCTGTGCACAGTTCCAAGCACTTTAGACAATTGTTTAGCTCTTTGAGTTATAGATATATATGAATGAATATATAGAAATAGAAAATTTTAAAAATCACCTCCAGAAAATTGTTCAGAAAATCTTGACTGAAAATATTTTCTTCTTGAATCTTTAGCATGTACATAGGCACACACAGTAAAGTTAAATTCAGAGAGCCTCCAGAAGCCAAATTAAATTTCCTCCTTGTGGAAGTGAAATGAAAGAATTTTCCTGAAACCTTCCTTTGTATTCTGGCAGTCCTTCAAACACATGTGGTAAATTCCCTGTGTGCGGTGTATTCATGGAGAGTTGTGTTGAAAGATGTGATACTTGGTTTAAAAATAAAAAGTTAGGGTTGTAGCTCAATGGTTTGGAGACCTAGCCTGTGCTCCCAGTTTCCCCTTTTTTATCAGCAAGAAGTGTTTCTTAGCAGTTTCATTGACAGCAAATTTGCAGTGGAAATACACCTGCTGCAGAGGAACAAAACTGATCTGCACAGCTGAGGGTTTAGCCAAGACAGCAGTGCATCTGCCAGTCTTTTAACTTTCAAAGTGACCGACAATAACTTTTGGGTTTAAATACTTTGAAACAATTTCTTCTTTGCAAGAACAAAGAGAACAAAAATGAACATAAATTTCCTCACACAGAAGGCAAGTTGATGATTATGTTAAGGAGGTGCTTCCAGCATATTATCTTTTAAGTGGCTGCCTTGACAGTGAGACTGTTTCAATACTGACCATTTTTCTTCTGCAAGCATAAAAGGAGTAGTTAGTGACCAGAGCACTTACCCCCTCAGTCTCTGTAGATGCCCTTTGCTGAGTGCTGTTAGCAGTCTCTGCGAAGAATCTGCGAGTGAGAGAGAGCAGTGGGATGGATGGCCTTGTAAGGCTTGGATGAAATGAGAAGCTTCAGCAGTCTCTCCGAGACACTCTCTCACACACAGTTCACATACATGTAATACTAAATATTGAACTTTGATATAAATCAGGAGATGACTCACCCTCAGGTATCAACAAAGGAAGCAATGTGGTGCCTATTGTTGCTAATCCATGATTCAAACTCATCCCCAGATGTATTACTGAAGTATAGAGATATATTACTGTTAGTTTACATTAGCAATCTTCTGTGATATGGGGAGGAACCTGTCTTAATCTCTGTGTGAACATATAATACATATCCTTCCCCCTAAACACCCGGAATCTAACCAGGAAATTCAGGGGAAGGATGAAAATTAAAGAAAAACAGAAAACACTGAGACTTAACAGGCAAACTTATATGTAGGAGACAGCTGAAAGCAAAAGTTAATTTTTCCCAAATCCAAACTGACAAAATGCTCCTATACCAGATTTGGGGTGTGTGGAATGACAGTACTGCCAGCACCAGATATGGAGGTGCCAGGTTCAGGGGATTGTGAAGTGTAATCCTGTCACCAAGTCTATGTACATGCACTTCTGTGGATGCCAGAGAGGCATGTCAGGAACTTGGAAGCAATAAGGAGTAATCTAATCTACATCATTACCCCACAAATAAATGCTAAGCACTGTGTTTTCAACAGCTGAGTGACTCTGTTCTTAATTACCCTGTGAAAATCCAGCTCTGCTATTCCAGCTGTCGCTGGGTTGGCAGTACAGACCTGCTGCAAGACAGAGGAAAGCCCAGCCTTTGCACAGATATAGGCAGAGATAATCTGAATCCTCTGAATACGGGAGCTATTTCAGTTGATGGACTAGATCAGATTAGATTGTGCACTTCTGCAAGAGTGGTGCGATGAAAGTGGGTAAAGATTAAAGACTTCAGAAAACAGCCAGAAGAGTGAAAATCTGGGTTCTTTCGGAGCTCTAGTGACACCTACTGAAAACCAATGAAATCCACCCAAATATGAGTAAAGCTAATACTTTAAGGTATATGCATGCATATATATTTAGCTGCATCCATACCCACATAGTGTGGATAACTTTTCTGAATTTTCAGTGAAAACCTCTTCTTAGCTTCTTACTGTTTTAGTCGCCTGTAAACACATAGGAAAAAACTGCTCCTCTCTGTTTCATACTTTCCTTTGAAAAGTAACAAAGCAGGTTTTAAAATACCCAGCATACTTCTCTTTTTCTTAGCAAGGAGCCTGTACGTGAGTGCCCACGTTTCTGCCCAGCCCCGCTACATGGTGTAGGTAACATTTATACAGCTACAGTGTCATACTGCAGAATGGTTCAGGTTGGAAAGGACCACAGTGGAACTTCTGCTCCAACCTCCCTGCCCACGCAGAGCTATCCCAAGGCACAAGGCTCCATTGCGTCCAGGCGGCTCTTGGGTATTTCCAGTGAGGGAGACTCCACAGCCTCTCTGCACAATCTACTCCACTGCGTGATCACCCGCACAGTAAAGAGACTCGTGCTTATGCTCAGGTGGAACTTCCCGTGCATCATTTTCTGTCTGTCTCCTCTAGTCTTGTTGCTGGGCACTATCAAGCAGAGCCTGGCTCCAAACTTCTGACACCCTCCCTTCAGATACTTATGGACATTGACGACGTCCCCCACTTTGGTCGTCTCTTCTCTGAACAGGCCCAGTTCCCCCAGACATTTCTCGTCCGAAATAATAACTCAAACATGGCAAAACACTGTTAGTACCAACACGTGTTATTTACTACCGGTCCTTCAGACTCAGCCCCCACAGCCCGCCCGTCACCACAATCGGCCCGTCCCCTCAGCCCGCCCCGCCCCGGCCCGGCTGCTGCGCAAGCGCGCTGCCCCATGGCTGCCTGCACCGCGCTCTGCCATTGGGTGCACTGGCGGCCCGAACCATTCTCACAATTTTGAGGGGAGAACTGGGAAAACGTGTCTCCGACGAACATCCACTGAGCCTCTCTTTTATCAAAATACTATTTCCGTCTGAGAAAAGTCTCGTTGTTTTGTTGGTTTCTTTTTAACTGGGAAACAAAAACTTACAAACCTGGCCGGACTGGCGGCTTATCTGGTTCCCCCCGTGGGTCATTGGTGTATCCCAAGATGGAGGGCACAGCCCGGGAGCACTGAGGTCTGGCCCGCGTGGGAGCGAGTGGGGTTCGGGACAGCGGGAGCGGCCGGGGTAGAGCGCCATGGTGAGTGTGCCGTGCTCTGTACGCGCAATTGCCTGGGGAACAAGGTTAGAGCAATAGAGCGCCCCCGGGTATCCTATATCGGCTGTAACGCGGTTTGTCAGGTGAGTGAAGCCGGAAACCTTGCTGGAAGTGTTTTCCAGGTCAGATGTGGTAACTCGCAGGAAAGGCGTTCAGCCGCTTGGAATACTGGGTGGGTTTGTTGATCCAGCCCGCAGGTGTGTGCCGATGTTAGAGCTGTGCCTGGGTAGGGTGCTGCCGCTGGCCCTCATGGCTGGTGCTGGATTGCTGCTCTGGGAGCAGCTATCCAAAGCACGAGGCAAGATGTGTCTAGATGAATCTCCTTATCAGTTCCCCGTGTTTCTTGGATGAAGTGCGTTGCAGAATTCTTTTCTAGGGCTGTATGTTAAACTGTGTATGCTGTATCAGATATGTACTGTTCTATGCATTGCCATTTTGCAGCTGCATAAGCTGCGTTTGCTGTTAGAACATACGAAATATCTGTTGTGCGTGTGGGGAGGTGAGTTATGCTCCCACCTGTCTCCAAGCATTTGTTAATAAGGCATTGCCTTAAAACGAATACAGCAGCACACTACAAGTTCTCTTAAGGTGCATTTAATATTTAATTTTTTGTTAACAGTTAACCACATTTCCTTTTTTCAGCCTCACAAGAAGAAAAAGCCCTTCATAGAGAAGAAGAAAGCAGTAACATTTCACTTGGTGCACCGAAGTCAGAGGGATCCTCTTGCTGCTGATGATACTGCACCCCAGAGAGTTCTGCTGCCCACACAGAAAGTAAATACTCGCTTTTAATTAATACAGAGGTTAATTCAGACAAGAAACACCGTGGAGAAAAAAAGTTGGTATGCAATTGGACAGTTCAAAAAAAGCCTGAGAGAAGGTAGTTTTTAGTTCAGCTTATTAAAAAAGGGATGTTGCAGGGAATTTCATGGTTGTGAGTTACTGCTGATGGCTGAAGGATGACTTAGCTGGTATTAGAGGTGTAAATGTATTTTAAAAACAACAGTGAAACTTGCCTGACTCACTGTGATAAAACAGGCACTGTTGGGTATGTTGCTGATGGTCCTGCTCAGGCAGCACCCAGACATGGAACCAGCTGATTACAACATTCTAATTGGCTGTGGATTAGGGTAAGAAGTGGAGAGAGGACTACACAGTCAGACACTCAGTAGATGTGTTGCTTTTGTTTTTGCTAGTAAGTTTTACATGGACTTAAGTAACTAAATGTATTCCTTTTGATTATTTTCTTCTCCTTCCTCTTCCTAGGGGCATGAGGAGCGGAGAAGAGAAGAGCAGCGCAAGTATGGTGTCTTCTTTGATGATGACTATGACTATTTGCAGCACCTCAAAGAAGCCTCTGGTCCCTCTGAGCTTGTCCCATCTGTGCGGGGACAGCAGAGCAGAATTGTCATCACAAGTGAGGGGCGCATAGAGGATGAAATTCAGAGGATTTCAGTAAGTAGTGTTTTTGCTGATGGTAATGCTGTTCTTTGGAGCATTAACATTTTCTAGACACATTCATTGTGTGTATATATATATATATATATATATATTTATATTTATATTTATGTGTAAGGATCCTTTTGACCCACAACCAACTTGACTTTCCTACAAACAAACCCAGAAGCTGACAAGCTGGCATTTGCAGATGAACATTATTTTGCTAGCACAATGTTAAAACACTTCAGGTACCCACAACAAACTTTTTTCTACAGAGATGGCTTGCAAAGGTGTTTGTTCAAACAAGTTGTGTGTTTTTCTGGGATGGGCATTTGTTTTTAAGGTTTTTTAGAACTTCTGAATGCTCTGGGAGTTATGAATATGCCAGCTTGTATTATCAGCACACCATGTTTTTAAGGGGGAATGTAATAGAAGCCAGACAGAATAAAACCAAACTTTTCAACTGCAGGCATAACTTGTAGAAGTTCACAATGCTGGATCACATTGGAGTGGAAAAGCAGTAAATGCTTTGAAGCAGTGAAGCATGCCATTGCCAGTCACTTATAGTTGAGGGTGTTTGATTTAATCAAATATTGTCATTTTAGTCAAACCAATAGTCTTAGTCAGAGGTGCCTTTCAGGTACAGCTTGGTGATACTACATAAGGTTTAAAGGTTAGGATAGATGTGCATATTGTGAAGCTTTTAACAAGCCTTTCAGTAAAGAGGTGAATTCAAATGTGTTCTCCAAAACAAGCCAAAAACATTTTACAATTTCCATGTGACTGCTGTACAACTATTCTCTAAAAAGCTTTAGAGATGCAAAAAATACTGTTCCTGTACCTGGAGAATATTGACAACATGAGAATTGATGCTGCCAGCACTTTACATAGCTATCATTGTATAACTCTGAAAATTTGCTGCAGATAATGTAGCACTTGTAACATTTAAGTGGCACAAACAGAGTTTCTTTTGGTCACAGGAGTGTCTGCATGATTTTTGTTAATGTGAGCTCAAACAAGAAGCTGAGAACAAATACATTGTAATGCCATTTTTCTGTTTCTTTTCTAAGGCTCCATCTATTAAGTTGCCTTCCTCCGTGTTTGCCACAGAGTTTGAAGAGGATGTGGGCTTGTTAAATAAAGCTGCTCCTGTTTCAGGTATTTTTCACCTTTTGTGATAAGAGTTGCCATCTAGGAAGCAGATGGTAATTAGGGCTTCTATTGTGATGTCATGGGGTTTTTTGGCTTAGAACTGACTCAGCAGCAGACATGAGTAATCTGTGAGACACCCGTGTTTCAATTTGAGACTTACTTCTGCGATTGACTAATGAGAGTTCTTTAGCTTTGCTTGGAAAGGGTTAATCCATTATCTCTTACTATTGCATAGCAAATACAAACTAATAACAGGGGGAAACTGTAGCTAATACTATTAATTTACTATTCTGTATTTTTGAATCCAAATCCGGAACTGGATTCTCACTCAGTTTCTCTTCAAATGCTGAGTAGTGTTTACATCCCTTCATTAGTGTCATTTCAGTGTTACAGGCTGTGAGGTAGGTTTTTGTTATGTACCCACATTTGCACTGGACATTGACTCCACAGCTATCTCCATATTTCTTAACAGTAAGCAGTTGTAGCAGTTCTCTCTGTCCTGACAGAAGGATGCTAAAGACAATTCTGTTAATTGCAGCAGAGAAACACTTTTTAACCTTTTGTAATATAGGGAATTTTAGGGCTGGAGCTAGTGCTGGTAGCTGATCATGTGGTGTTTTGGTCTGGATATCTTTTTCTTTTACATTATTCTATATTAAAATGCATTTATGGAAGACCTCTAGGAAATGTTTTTTTCTGAGTGATAAAAATTGACAAGAGATTGGTGGTATGCCCTGGCTTCTATCAGATTACAAATATTCTTGAGGAGTTTTATGTTTCTTTGGTTTAAGCTTTCCTTACTGCAAATTAACAGTCCAGCTGGGTTGGTTTTTATCCAGGAAAGTAGCTTTGTAATGTCAGAGAAATGTAAATATTTACATTTCATTTTTTCAACTTTCTAGGACCACGGCTAGATTTTGACCCGGATATTGTTGCAGCTCTTGATGATGATTTTGACTTTGCCAATCCAGAAAATATCCTGGAAGATGATTTTGTTCTGCAAGCAAATAAACCACAGAAGCGGTAGATAGAGCTTTGTTGAAATATTTGTTATGTAAATAGGAGAGATGCAGTTTGCTATTGCATGTGGTGGTGTAGGAAGCCACAGTGGTTTCAGATTTCAAATTGAATACTTTGGTGTGTTGAAAAAAGTATTACCTTGTGTTACTTGGATGGCAGCTTGCAAAATGAAATGTATTACATTATCCAAGAAGTGGGATTCATTTGTTACTTTGAGATTATGGATTATATGCAGTGTTTGGAATAATAGTGTTCTTGAACTGTTTAAAACATTGTCATCTATTACATATAAAATATATCAGTAATAGTGTTGATGAAGGCTAATGGCTGTTTCTGAACCCTTTAAAAATGCTTTGTGTGATACTCCACTCAATTTTATCTGCTTAGGTTTTGGTATCATTCTCATAATTTCATGAACAGTAAAAATTTTTGCTTGTTTTTATAGTCAAGAATGCAGCTGATATTTTTCTGCTTTGACGTGTACAGCTGAACATAAAAACAACATCAGTCTCAGTGCACAGATGCATGGTCCAGCTAGCAATGCTTTCAGCTCTCAGACAAGTGTCTCACTCCAGATTTAAATCTGCTTTTGCCAAATTGTTTCAGATAACCCAGCATGGGTCAGAGCTATGTAAAGGTCCATGTGTTATTCTAAAACTATTTTGTGCTTCTGTTCAGGGGACCAGATGCTGAGGATGAAGATGAATGGGAAGATATGGAAGATGATAGTGATGAGAAGGATAGCTGCAGTACTGACAAAGACTATGATTCAGAAGGTCCTTTGTCAGATGGTGAGGTTAATGGACAGGCTAAAGAATTCCTTTTTATGCAAGAAGAAACCAGGAGTCGTTTCACAGAATATTCTATGACATCTTCCGTGATAAGACGGAATGAGCAGTTAACCCTGTTGGATGACAGATTTGAGAAGGTGAGGCTGCTCAAGAGTGTAACTGTGAAGGGTGATAAATGCTTCTTTGCCTATTGATTCATTTCATCAGGCAGTGTCCTGTATACCTGTGCAGATTTTACTGCTTTTAGCAGTCAGGGCATCAAGCTACTGCTCTCTGCATGTATTCTGCATTTAATACTGGGTACATTTAGAGGCTTGTGTCATCTAGGCTGTAGTGTTAATTGCTATTGCAAGGCCTAGCACTGATGGGAAGTAAACAGAATTACTCCAGTGACTGTATGAGCATTCATAATTAGTGTTTCACTTTTGTCTGAGAGGCTCAGTTCAACACAGCAAGCCATTTACAGGTCCCTGGTGAAGTATACATTCACGAACCAAGCATGGAAATAGGGTGTAACTTTTGTCCCGAGCAGTAACAGGCTTCTTAAGGCATAGATTGAAATAATGCATCAGAATAAATAACGTTTTCTAGAAGCTGGTTTTTATATTATTATAAGATAACTTTGTGGAGTTCTATGTGGAAAGAGCACTGACAGTAAGAAGGAAATCCTACTGCAGATGTGTTTGGCAGTTGTTCAGCAAATGCAAGGGGAGAGGAAAAAGAGGCAAATAAAAAGAAATGTGAGGTTCTTCTTTAAGCTGCCAAGAAGTTGCATGACAAATGTGGTCTAATTACAGATATCCACTTCTTTATTTTAGTTTTATGAACAATTTGATGAAGATGAGATTGGAGCCTTAGATAACGTGGAGTTAGAAGGCTACATTAACACAGACAATGCTCGGCTGCAGGAAGTCCTGGATGATTACTACAGAGAAAAAGCAAAAAAGTATGTATTCTCAGAAGTACTGCTTCACATAAGTAGTTCTGTAATCCTCTGTTTACATGGAAGTTTTGGGTGTGTTGTTTCAAGTTCATGTACTCAAAAGATTGCATCCCTCAATAAAAGCAGCTGCATATGAGTATTATCCATTTGCATGATAAAATTAAGTGGAGGAATTTTGTTGGTTTGAGTAGGTTATGCTCCTTTTATATAGTTGTGTTGAACTTAATGTAAGCAGTATCTTAGAGGCATTCATCCTCTTGAAAAGCAGAAATACTTCTTTTGTTGACTGTGTCTTTGTTCTAATGTTTTTAGTTTGTTTTGAGGAGACTTACTTATGGAAACTTCATTTTTGCTGCAAATTTCGTTGGAAGTAGCTTTATTGGTCTGGGATCTGGGGCTTGACTTAAGGGAGTCTGGGCTTACATAATTATACATTTTCAATAAGAGATAAAACTTATTGTTTTGTTTTCTGAACTTTGAAAAAGTTGTGTGAAACTGGATGCTCTTGAACCTGATGAAGATTTGGACTCTCTTGTCAATGAAGAAAGTGAGGAGGAAAAGGAAGAAATAGTGACTGTAGTTATTGAGGAGCCAAAAGAAAAGTGGGATTGTGAATCCATTTTGAGTAAGTATTTTGGAGTTTGCTTATTTGTTCTTAGAATTTCAAGGTAAATGATAGGTGATTTCAGAACTTCCCTGGCAGTGCTTCAGGTAAAATGGTTTATTCTCTGAGCATAACAGGAGAAATTCCCAAAACCTAAATATCAGTACAATTCATAAGTGCTATTTGCAAGCCTTTCTTAACTACTTTCTTTTTTCTTTGCGACTTAGGTACCTATTCAAACTTATATAATCACCCAACACTTATTAAGGAGCCATCAAAGGTAAAATTATTAAACTTACTCTGATGAATAGCACTGGGAAAACTTGAGATAAATGTGTTTGTTTTTTCAATGGGTATCTGTTTTAAAAGACAGGGAGCAGAAATGAGGGTTGGGGAGGGCTCTGGCATTATTTCTTCACTAAAGAGGAATTTTGATATATTTTTTCTTATTCTAAGGAAAACTGAGTCAGTTAAAAGTTTCTGTAATAGCTAGGCAGAAACAGTGAGGAATTTCCTTTGTTATCTGTGAGATTTGTCTAATCTGTGTCTCACAGCCACATACTTGCTCAGGTTTATTTTCCTATGGTCTGGAACAGTTTATTCTAGTTCTTTGGTCTTCCATATGTTCCCCATCAATAGAGCATAGCTTGATATCCCCAAATTTGAAATTAAATCTTTTTTTGCAAGCTTATAAAGGAATATTAAATGACTGTTTGAGTTCTTTATTTTTTCAGTAATATTTAAATAGAAGGGGAAAATGTTTTTCTTATTCTGGAAGGCCAGATTTCGTCACAGATGTTTTAATTTCTTACTTTGGGATTAATAGGTGTTTTTGTGGGGGAGTTAAATAATATGAGGAGACTTAACTTTTATTACTGTTAAATCTGGATTTGAAGTTTTTACACTGATAAGTCAGTGCCATGTGCACTTCTTGGAGAGAAAGCTAGGGGCCACTAATTCCTATGCGCTCTCTATTTCAGCCCAAACCAATCAAAATTTCTCAGAAGACTGGAATTCCCCTACACGTCCTGCCTCAGAAGGGTCTCACTGCCAGGCAGGTGGAGCGCATGCAAATGATAAATGGCAGTGACCTGCCAAAAGCATCAACACAGCCTCGTTCCAAAGCTGAGAGCAAAGCGGATCGCAAAGCCAGGAAACAGGCAATCAAAGAGGAGAGAAAGGTACACCTGACTGCAAATAAAACTTTGCAGAGCATTCTGCGTTACCTGAATTCTGTCCTACAAACTTTGTTTAAAACTCACTTGTCATGTCTGAAGGTAATGGGAGAATCTTGATGGTCTCAAAGTTACTGCTTCTTAATTTTCTTTCTGGTAGATTTTTTTTTTAACATCACACTTTTGTCTTTCTGATTTCCAGTATCAAAACTTTAGGTCTGTGGCCACTACTGCAGATACAACTGCTGGAGGAATATCAGATCTCCTTACGATCTAGAGTAGCAAAGAAAATAGCTACTTTTCATTTTATGTGATCTGAAACATCATATCTGAAAGAAATGTGGAAAATCTTCATTGATCACAGTTAAATCCTTGCTGTTTTATGTAGGAACAGAAATTGCCAGCATATTAGAAGCTTCCGCTAACTAAAGATGTTTATCCTGGTCGTACACGTATTAATTTGACAACCAATAATTAGTGCCATAAATAATACGATTGTCCAGATTGTTCTTATTTTCATTATCTAGGAGAGTTAATTGGAATAGTTTGATTTTGCATGGTAATTCCTATTTTGTAAATTTCTCATTATTCCTATGTACAGGAACGCCGAATGGAGAAGAAAGCCAACAAGCTGGCCTTCAAACAGGAGAAAACAAGACAAGAGAAAGAGTTGCTCAATCTGAAACAAAATGTGCAAGGTCTGAAGCTGTCCTGATGAAACTGAGAAACTTATTATGGAAATATCCCTATTTTTTCATTTGTGTTGAGAAGGGAACTGCTAACTCACACCTTTGCCAGTCCTGCTCAAAGGGGGTTGTTCAAATCTCACTGTAGCAAGATCCAGTAATTTGTCATTTTTTCTGAAGTGAAATTCTATATAAAATAATGTATTGGTGATATCTGTTCTGTAATGAGTGACATTGCAATAGCTGCAAAGTTTCATTACAGTAGAAATGTATTAAAATTACGAATATTTTTCTTACAAGTTATCAATGAACAGAGTTATATATATTTGTTGAATGTATTCAACAAATCAGCAGAATCCTACAGATTTGATCTGATTAGATTCTTCTATTAAATTATTTCAGTTTACAAAACAGTATTTTCATTTATGTCTTTTCTCTTATACTGATGGCTGAATATAGTAGCTTGCTATGATACAGTTTTATAAGTCAAGGAGTTTACACCCACTCCTCCTTGGTTCTTTTTTTTGGGTGGATTATTTATTGTTTTGGTACTATGATGGGTCCCTTTTGTAAACAAAGGTGTCTGAAAAGCTGTTCTGCGGCTAGACATCACTGTTACCTAACCCGAGTTTTACATTTCCTGGCAAATAAAATCTGTCCCAAGGAGTGTTGCAGTTACAGTAGTCAGTGACCCTTAATGTTGCCATTGGAATTGGCTTTGCTGGAATTACTCAGTCTGAGTAGGATGGCAAACATGCAGCAGATGCTTGGATAAAAAGTGTGTGGCAGATAGTCACCATCTTGGTGTTTCTAGAATACCCTTCCTCAGGTCTTGTATTTAACTTGGTTTAATTGGAATACAAACTTAATACCCACTACAATTGTAAAAACTTCTAAAGATGAGCTGAGGGCCAAAATCTGTAAGTTTGGTGTGAACTTGAATGTTTGTACTGTGAAGATGAATTATTTTGATAGTGACTGGTTCATAATGTGAGTGAAATCAATTGGATTCATAGTCAGCCCTGAATCCTTCTGTATTTATAAAAAACCCCTCAGGTTTATGTCTGTATGTTACAGACAATCTTCTACCTCTGTGTGAGAAGTTAACCTTTTTACTGGAAGGGACGTGGTGAGCAGGACATCAGTGCAGTGGCCTGACTACTGGTGCATTCAAAGCATCTTCAATATTCCTTCCATAGGTTTGTGAATACTAGATGGAGACAAGCTAACAGGGACTGATCAAGACTTTTAATGTACAGAAAATTCAAAGTACATGGTTTTATTGGAGGAAAGCTTTTATAATATATTTTGATTATGGAGAAGGGAATAAAGAGGCATCTGAATCTGCAAGTCTTGATCACTGCTCAGAAAGCTGAAGTGTCATGTACAGTATACACATCTAGATTAAGCCTTCATTTTCTAGAATTGTCTGTTAACAGAATCAATAGATATAATCTGTAAGATTAGAAAAAGTTTCAGCATTTTCCATTAACTGATACCTGTACTAGTTTTCATGTGTTTGACAAGCTTAAGTGGGATCTACCTGTGTCTTAATTGCTAATTGTGTAATCACTGACTGTGGTAACTGAAACACTGACCACCACCCAATACTCATGACTCCTGACAGCAAAACAGAAAAGGAAATCTGAGAAGCAAATCTGTTGAGGTGAGTCAGATACCAGGAAATAAGTTCAATGGAACAAGTAAGTAACATGCTGTTCAGTGCTTTGGGGTGCAATGTGATTTTGTGGTTTACCAAAAAGGACAATCTGACTAAAGCCAGTGCACACGTTCTGTGCTGGGTTTCTCATCACTGATTCAGTGGTACTGTGCTTATACCTAAAGTGCTTTAAAATAAAAGGGAAAACAAACGTCTAGAGGGGATGAGAACAGAAAAAAGTGAGGGAGGCAAAGGAAGGCACTTGAAATGAAGAGTGGAGTCTGGACTAAGGGCAGACACAGCTGTGGCTTGGAAACAAAAGAGGCAAGACATGTAAACAGAGGCAATAGGAAAGGAGTCAAACAGATTTCAGAATTGCTTTGTTCCTCTTCACTTGTAATCAGTGAAACACTGCAGTAACCTTAACAGTGATTTGGAGTGTGGTAAAATCCCAAGGAGAAGGTAAAAAACCAAAGATGTCATTCATCTGCTTAGCAAGACAAGGATTTCTTTTGTTTTAGCAAGAGGAGGTAAAGAACACTTACATGAGAAGTCCTTACAGAAGTTAATTTAATGAAGTACCTCTGTAGGTTGCAAGTCAAATGAAAAGGACTCTCTTTTTCCTGAAGTTTTACTAAAGGCTGTTTTTGTTTAATAGAAGTCATGTCCCTGCTCTGAAATGAGTGATTGTCTTTGGAGTTAAAAGGGCTTGAAACTACTTTCCATGTAACTTAAACATTTACTTAAAAAAAACATTTACTTTAAAAAAAAAGGTTATTTAAATGCAAATCTCAACAAATTTAACATCTACAAAATAAGATCATCTTGGAATGCTGTTTAGCATGTCGTGGAAGCATTCCACCTTAATAATAAAGATTGTGCCACACTTTGCATGGCACTTTCTACCTGAGCCATTACTGGGAATCCACTAGCTGACATCCAAACCATAAATCTGGGTGGGTGCAGCTCACCTGCCCTGAATTTAGGCAGTGATGAACGTAAGTATTGTTCCACCATCTCCTCAGCCAGCTGTGATGTCATTGTGAAAGCACATACCTGAGCAGTCATGTGGAAAATGGAATGCTGCCTGTCATAGCAAAGGAGAGCTTGTGCTTTGTTGGAGCTGGATACATGAGGAGGGACTTCTGCAAAAGGGAACCCTGGTATGCAACAGGAGAGTTGGATTTGATAGTTCTTGGGTCCTTTCCAGTTGAGGATGTTCTGTAATCCTATGGAGATGCCCCTTTCTGACAATGAAGTGCTGTTCCAGCAAGAGCCCTGTCCAAGTGCCGACTCTGCCACGGTCATGACATCCTGTGCTGTCTAACTGAGGCTCTTGCATGCTTTGCATTTTGCAGAGCTGCCTGAAGTCAAGGTCTGGCTCCTTCTACAACCCATGGAAAACACTTTGCATAGTTTGTGGTAAAAACTCCTCCTTTTAATGGGAATTTCAATGCATTTAGCTGAAATGGGTAATGAGCGCTGAGGAAGGAGGAGGTGACTGCTGGTAGAGAAGTGAGTTGAACAAATTTAAACAGCAAATTATCTAGTAACTGCTTCCATTAGTGAACTTGATTAGGGAATGTATTGTGCACAGACACACTGTGAATTCATCTTCAGTCTTGCACTTACCTGCTTGTCCAAAACCATGTTTACTGTACACTGAATTTCAGAGAATGTATTTTCTCTTAGTGAGGCATAAATGACTAACTTACAGCTTCCTTTTTTGTTCCAGGCTTTTAGGCTGAATTTGTTATTCCAGTCTTCTTGAAAAAATAGACTAATAAACCATCTGATAACTAGTCCCTTTGACAGCATAATGTGGGTACCAGGCTCTGTTCCAAAGCTTGCTGCAGTGAATGAAAAGATTCCCCTTGACCTCCCTGATCCCTGGATTGCAAACTGAATGCGTGACTGCACAGTTTGCCTGGCACAACCCAAATGCAGGGGTTTTCTGCAGGGGTGGGGCTCTGCACATACCCCTCCACTCTTCAGTTCGTGTCACTGATCCTGTGTCTCTGTGGTAGATCAGATCAGCCCTACAATAGGACTAAAACCTGATCTGGCAAGGAAAAAACCCAAACAAAACAAACCAAAAAATACACTGAAATCGGAGTGACTGCAAGAACCAAGACAAAGGTGCAATTACTTTGCCTTAGTCCCATGTTTGGTATCTCAAGATTTGTGAAGAGCATAATGGTTTTATCTAGCAAAATAGTTTGAAAAGAAAGAGCTGTGTGTTATGGGAGAGGTGAGAAATTTTGTGTCATCGTGACTGGTGTGAGATCCAACTCCTACGGTGGCTCTCCATGCCCTGGTGATGCAGGACTGGTTTCCTCCTCAGTGAGCAGGGCACAGGTGTCTGCTGCACTTCCAGTACTGCAGAGGAATATTCCTCTCAAGTTTGCTGTCAAAAATGTCTAGAAACAGAAGGTAAGGACCTGAGTAATAGGAGTAGAAGGTTCAAAGTGAAATGAGGATTTGGAAGTTTGTGCCTCTGTAGAATGAGGGGTGTTTTAGTCCAACTGAGCTGTAACCAAAATGCCTTGCTTAAGTATTCACTTAATTACTACGGAAAAAGAGTGGACAGCATAGAAAAATTATTAAGAAGATCAAGAGAATAACTGAGAACAAGAAAGGGTGAGTAAGCAAAATAAGGTACAAACAGGGCCTTTAATTTACCAGCTGTGGATGGACTCATGCAACTCATAGTGCAGGAAAGAGGCTTTAGTTTGGTCCTTGCTTCCATGGTGTTCCTTACAAAGGGCATTGCCCGTCTTGTTGTGGAAGAGTGAGAGTGATGCTAAAATCTGAGACGTTTCTGAACCTTACAGCCTCATTTGTTGTGAGGCATGGCCCTTATACAAATTTGGCACTGGGTATTGTATCTACCCAAAATTTCCAGTGCTTCCAGCTGCAGGTGCTATCCCTAGCTTTCCTTCTGTGTTGTCAGGTGGTACAGGTGCTGGTAAGCAGCTGCTCCCATTCAGCCTGGGGCTGTGGCTCTTTCATGGTGTTGGTGGGATGGGCAGCACTGCTGTTTGTCAGGGGACACCCCACTCTGGAATGCATCTAAACTCAGAGAACTAATAATGAAAATATTGTCCCTTTGAGCAGGATCAGACTGGTCTCCACCTTAATTAAGAAAGAAAGAAAAACAGGTGTGTGTGAGGAGAGTCCAATGGGACAGCTCCTGTTCACAGACCCAATCTGTTCTTGTCTGCACATCATCATTTGGACTGCTCTCCAGTCTGTTCCTGAGCAGAACAAACTGGAAATGGCCTTTATTTCTTATTTGTGTTGAACCACAACTTTACTTGGACAGCTTTTGAAAGTTTTGATGAAGTCCTTCAGGAGTTAAACTGAACCCAAAACAAATACTGCTGCAGCCCCCTGCTCCTGGATAGAAGTTATTTTAAAGCCTGGGTAAGAACATATCATTAACAAAGCATCACTCCAACCCATGAGCAAAATTTTTTCTTTGCATCCCAGCTGATCCAGTGTTCCAAGGAAGCCTTCAACAGGAAGTGCAAGCCCTTCAGCATTTTGAGACAGAGACTATAGGAAAGAGAAATCACCACTGTGAAGAAGCAGCCCCTGCAAAGGGTATAGTTAAAACTGAAGTGTGTTTGTGTGTTATCTCCATACGAAGTCTTTCATCCAGTAACATTATTGTTTCCTCCAAGGACAAAGCCTGGATGTTGTGGATGAGTGTCACATATGTGCTTGACAGGGTGCCAAATTCTTTCCTCCCCCTCCCTGTGCTGCTAGTGTTTGTCAATATGAAGAGCCAAATCTGTAGATGTCATGTCTGCCCTGGGCACGTAAGTGTCTCTGCTCTTCGAGTAAATGTTCAAATATATATTTTTAAAGACAATGTGAATCTCTAATCGGTTTCTCTTCACCTAAATCTGAAAGAGAGTGTGACTCAATGATGCATGGATGCCCAAGGTTGAACCTGAGAGCTGCCCTTTCACAGATGAAGTTGCAGAGATTCACTACCATTTTACTGAAGGATTAAAAATGTGTTTGAGCGGAACTTATTTACCAGAGATGGAGGAAAAAGATGCTTAAGCTCTTACTGGAACAAGTTATTTTGCTAGCGAGGAGGTGAATACACATGGACATGCATGGATATTATTTTATCCAGAGGAGCCAATTCACTACTGATTTGATTGACTGCTGTTGTAAAATGTCCTTTAAAATGAGTTGTGGAAGGAAAGAGAAATGCACAAAGGTTTGAAGTTAAAATTATGTGACAAAGGGAGAAGGGAAGGTGTCTTTTCTAATAATGTCTTTTCTGGTTCTTCCTACATGCTCTTAGGTCTGCCATGACCATGGTATTTTGTTGGAGTGCATTGGTTTATTTTGTCCTTCTTCTGGTGTTGTCAATAGACAGTGAAGGGCTGAACCAGCTTCCCTATGCCTTTCAAAAAATGCAAATTTCTTTTGTTTCTAATGTTTTCTCTTTCCCTCAGAAAAAAAAAAAAATAAAAGAACCCTTGCTCTAAGATATTTCTGTCCCTTGCAAGAGTGAAGTGTAGTTTGTGCCTTCTCCTGTTTCCATTACAGAAACAGCCAGGGAAGAAATCTAACTGGAAGCAGCCTTATGAGTATTTCTTAATACTATTCAATCAGCCAAGCAGGTCACACAAGCTGTGAAGGAGGCCACCTTCTTCCACCTTCTCCCCCACCAAGCACCAATCCAGATTTGTGGTCAGCTTTCCTATTGTGGTTCTTGTACTGATCTTTGATAATGCAGTGACATCTTATTAACCACAGATAGGATTCAGTTTTGCATCCTTGGCACAATATTAATGCCCTCCATAGACTCTGATTTTTAGCTCTGTTTTTTGGCTTGAATTGATGCAAGGCAGAGGATGGAAGGCAGAGGCGATGGAAGATAATACTAACCATACATTTTAAATTTAAAGGCAGCAAATGTCTGATATTAACACTTCAAGAGGAAAGTCAGGATAGCTGTACTATCCTATAACAGAGGGTGAAATAAATCCTTTCTCAATTCAAAATAAGTAGTGCACACAGGGTTCCCCACTCTCACAGGGTGCCTTTTCCACTGTCCCCTTCTCCAGCCAGCTTTGCAGGCAGGGAAAGGCATTTAGAAAAGGACAGGTCTGATTTACTACTTAATACCAAGTTCAGCCTCTGCACAGAGCTCCCTGTGTTAAAAGTCACAGCT